TGAATCTGAATCTTATATCCGAGTTGTGCATGCAAATGAGCAACAAGGGAGTATGTATTAAAATGGAGGGGGCCTATGGCAACAAATTAACCCCTTGTTTACTGACCGATGTGGTAGAGTATACAAATCATTTATCACTGTCAATCGTTCGTCGTCCATAGCTAGTTTAATGTAATTTTCATAGATCGTTGACGAGCCCTTGTCGCCGACATGGAAGGTTTCGCGCTGCTCAACCGGCAACAATTGGCGGGATCTCGGCTTCTCCACTATTTAGATTTTACGATCATTGGTCATTTAGTGCTCATGCTGAGGGCAGGGGGGCAACAGAAGCAATGACAGTCATTAAGGCCTCCCATCATGCCCATTTTGACGAGAACCGTTTATCAAGATCTGCAAACGCATTCATCCAAGTATCTTAAGCCTCTTAAAGGTATGCATCATCATGATCGTGGCCCTTCCCGAAGTGACATACATTTTCATGTGAACCGTACATCATCAGTACAAAACTAACGATTTTACCAATCGATTAAAGGCACTGTAAATTTAGCCGTATTAAATGCATATTTGCGTTATTTTTGGTAGCAAGTAATGTAAAAGTAAAATGATGTCATAACTGCCAGACAGAACATTTTCTATTTAGATATTTTTACGTGGCTTTCTAAATCAGAAGTACGACCATGCAGAGCCGTCGCAAGATGGGGTGTGGGGAGTGTGCGCCCTCCCCCCACCACCCCCCCCCCCCCCCCCCCCCCCATTCCAAATGACGATTCTCTGCTGTGGGAGTGCATCTCATCTTGAGAGTCGGACACGTCTTCATCGAGTGGATTGTTCACCCGTTTTCGACCTGCTTTCAAAGAAAGAGAGAGAGAGAAAAGGAGAAATAGGGAGAGGGAGGGAGAGAGAGAGAGAGAGAGAGAGAGAGAGAAAGGAAGAGAGGGAGAAAGGGAGGCATCGACCACTGCCAACAAGGTCTAGAAACGGGGGACGTGAGTGGAATAAACTGCCACTGGTTGAACGTATCTACCGGCCATCGCCTACCTCAATACGTGTTTTATGCTACGAAGACAGTCATTAATTTGGCTTTAAAAGGTCAAATTGAAAACCCTTCTTTTGGCAAATTGGTAATAAGCAAAAGCTGTGTAAATAAAAGAAACGGATGAGTATTATCATGTCAAGATTTCGTAGTTTTACACAATAATGCATGTGCTGTAGACCGATTTCCAAATTCATTCAACGAATGCACAGAAGACGACCAAAATACTGGTATTCGAATTCGGGACTTTTTGTACCCAAACGAGGTTAACATCGTCACCTTCACGGCGATCTCATGAAATACCAAGTTTCGCATTAGTTTCGGCTCTTCGGGGTTACGGGGACATCTCAGCAACATGATGGAATGCTGAAATCCTGCCCAAAATACCAGTCCCCATGGGCAAACAAACAAAAAAAATAATCCACTATGAGTTACTTTTTTGTTGAACGTGTACGAAATCTGGTATCTGAACTATCATGGTTGAAGGGAAAGGTTGATAATGGTGCTAATGTAATGAAATACAGAACCGTGGAATGGGGTGGGGGCGGATCCGAGACACGGGCATCTCCTGTGTTTTTTTTTAACTACATTGATTGACGCACAAGTCGTCGTGCTCGTGCCCACTTCGCGAAAGAAGCACCTTGGACTTCTAATGTCGATCAACGGAGCCTAAAAGGGGGACAAAATCTGAGAGTAGCCCATCAATACCCTCATATCATTTTTTCATTCCCCCCCCCCCCTGCCTTCTGTCACACCAGGACCCCGTCTTATATAAAGTTGCGACTGATTTTGGAAACTTCTTTTATTCTTCTACTCATGTAATGAGTTGCCTCTCCCGAAACGGAGAAAGTTAGAAGATCACCGATAAGCACCCAGTTTCAATCGTGACCTATCAGGGAGGTCGAAGGTCAGACAAGGTTACGCCTATCTTCAATGCCTTGATGTCATAATAAATTCATTTCTGATTATTATGATAATCTGCAGTAAATCTTCGCTTTGAGGATGCAAACGACGGAGGGATAAAAATACAGATTCGTAATTTGTCTCGACTGGTTAGGATGTCAAATGAATTCTCTTGGATTTGGGGAACATTTCCTCTCTCTTTCTCTCTCTCTCTCTCTCTCTCTCTCTCTCTCTCTCTCTCTCTCTCTTTATTTTTCTCCCCACCCATTCTTCTCTCTTTCTCTTTCTCTCAAGCCCTTTCCCACGTTTTCTTCACAACATTACTTTTGTACCTTCCATATCTCATGCACACCCCCACTCACTCGCATCCTATAGCTAAACCCTCTCTCTCTCTCTCTCTCTCTCTCCCTCCCCCTCTTTTTCTCTCTCTCTCCCAGTCTTTCTTCCTCTCTATCCTTTCCACATATAATTTTCACGATACCTATTTTTTAAATCATAATTATTTTGAGATCTTCGTCGTTACCCATATTACTATTTTCAATACCCCTCTTTCTCTGTCCCCTCTCTTTCCCTCTTCATCCCCCTCCTCTCTCTCTCTCTCTCTCTCTTTCTCTCTCTCTCTCTCTCTCTCTCTCTCTTTATTTTTCTCCCCACCCATTCTTCTCTCTTTCTCTTTCTCTCAAGCCCTTTCCCACGTTTTCTTCACAACATTACTTTTGTACCTTCCATATCTCATGCACACCCCCACTCACTCGCATCCTATAGCTAAACCCTCTCTCTCTCTCTCTCTCTCTCTCTCTCTCTCTCTCTCTCTCTCTCTCTCTCTCTCTCTCTCCCTCCCCCTCTTTTTCTCTCTCTCTCCCAGTCTTTCTTCCTCTCTATCCTTTCCACATATAATTTTCACGATACCTATTTTTTAAATCATAATTATTTTGAGATCTTCGTCGTTACCCATATTACTATTTTCAATACCCCTCTTTCTCTGTCCCCTCTCTTTCCCTCTTCATCCCCCTCCTCTCTCTCTCTCTCTCTCTCTCTCTCTCTCTCTCTCTCTCTCTCTCTCTCTCTCTCTCTCTCATTCAAGCCCACATATTAGTTTGATCCCCCACTCCCACTTTAAGAAGAAGATCTATATAGGGAAACGTAGCTTCGCCAGTCAAGTCCAAAGCAAACTTACCCTCGGAATAAAATTAGAACATTCCATTCCGTGAAGTCAATAAACTGTGCATCTCTTATATTGCATCCGTACTCTATACTATTATTTTGTGAAGACAGTGTTTCTTTCACTGTACAGTGATTGTGTTTAATTCACAACTGTGTGCTATCTGCTTTAGCTGTAAGAGTCTGTTGTATTCATTTCATTATGTTGTAGCCTTTTAGATAGATGCCGAAAATGCGTGAATAGGCATAGGGGCATGACAGGTATTACATATCGAACATCAACATGCACCGATTTTATTTTTTCCTTCTTTAAAAAAAAAACTATCTTGAATAGGATGTAACATCGATATTCGAGATAATTATGCTGTCGACAAACCTTAGATTTCTGCAGCCTTGCGATGACTTGCAAAAATTCAAAACCCCACCCTCCCTTGAGTCCCTTCCCCCTTAAAAAAAAAAAAACTCTGTAAGCAATGACAATCAACATTCTGACGATAAGATTTGACCCTTGTCCAAATCTGACAACCCATGGAGTTACTCCATGGACAACCCGATGACCTTTCTTTTATTTCTTGTTATTGTAAAATACCGGGTTTTTTCCATATTTTTCGTTTGCTTTGGGGGAATATTCTCGACAGACTTGTCGGTAAACCTTGACCCGAACTACCCCTCCCCTATACTTTAAAATCATTAACCGAAATGACCCAAAGGTCTGTATTAACTTATTTACCCCGACCCTGTATATTGGTCACGTTCAACAAAGGAAATTTTAAACCTCAATCTTCCTTTGTTTAATCCATTTTTTTAGCATAAGCTTAACACCAGCATCGGATTAAGAAATACCAATTAATGTTAACGGGCCAGTAGGTTTATTATTACATCGTATGGTTTACATAGCCTTGCAATATCCATCGCCTTACAAAATGACAAAATGACCAACACGCGCGCTGTGCATATATTTGAGTATCATAGAGCGGCGACATAATTATCAAAGGTGTCTGATCGACGTTATAGCACCATGACTAATGAGCTATGTCAACACATGTTTCGATGGTGAAACATTTCATGAGATGAAATGGATCGTGGATGATGGTTGCTTAGGGTTACCGATGAAATGTTTGTTTGTCCGTCTGTCTGCGTGTCCGTGTCGAGATGACCACGTAAAATGACAGCAATAATCCTCACATCGCCTAATATATTTGTAATGAAGGACATTATACGCTTCATATAGTTGATGATGTATATACGTAAAAGACATTGTAAACATGGCCCAAACCATTATAAAAATGATCCACTCAGTGTCAGTCAGTGTAGAATGCAGGTTTGTGAAGAAGATACATGTAGCAGGGCAGGTTAGTGAAGACAGAAATAATATCTAGACCAGTTAGCAAGAGATTGTAAAGAATTTCAAGAGAGTAGATCAAGCATGATTTTCAATATTTTGTTTTACAGACAGACATCAAGTTCAGATTTTACTATGTTTCTGTAATAATCCAACATTTCAAAAGATAAGGGACACAGTAATTACAATTTCTTTCGGATGATGCTTAGGAAGTCGTTACGATCGCGTTACATAAAGGTCGGGTGACGAATTGTCACGAATAATCACATCCTGGCAACAATATTGAAGAAAAAAAAAGAAATCATGCATAAGACATGGTCACTCGTCTTTCCTTATTGCCTATATTAGGAAAGAGGATCTTGAGATAGTCGGCATACATTAATGTTGCATCATTTTCGGTACTCGAAAAGGATATAAGCAACAACGGAGCTTCAAATCGCGCCTACGGTAGATGCTCATTACAAGGACATTTAAAACGACACTAAGTTTTTACTTTAAAAATGTATGTCCACGCTTCAGTAGTCAGTACTATAGAAAATATCCAAATAAATATCTACTTACCACCTGTTATTTTAATTGGAATGACTTATGGTGTCGTTTTCTTGATCGAAACGATGCATGTGGTGATTTCCTTTCTTTGGTAGGCCGAATTTCCTTCAGAGGCGTCAAGTTTAAACGCTTTCCCAGCAGTGGATGGATATGGCGTCTTGAAGGTTCGGTCAACAACTTTCCCCGGGGCTCTTCGGGCTATGTCTACCTTCACCTGCACCTCGTCCCGGATATATTCACAAGGTGTTGTCGCGTTGATTCCTAAATCAAATATGAAGAAACTCTGTTGGTGTGCACACTTTTTAACATGTATGTGGTTCCTTGCCATTCACTTCTCTCGGCTGTGTATTACTATGTACACGAGGTAAATAAATAAATATATGCACAAAGACTTTTTTGTTTAAATCCCAGCATGTAGTCTTGTACGCGACTCGGCCTTTCAATCAGTCTGTCCTACACAATACTGAAGCTCGTGGAGGTGATCGTTTCACAATAGGTAAGGGCAATGGCATACCGAATGCTGATAAAGTTTCCTAAGGGTGTTCTGACTGGTCGATAGTCCCTCTGCTACCCGCCAACCACAAGCACAGAAAGGCCATTTACAAGCAGACGACACGAACGTTGGTTCGTGAGGACGGCGCTCTCATGCATATGCAAATTTTCCTCCGTGCGGGTGAAAGGTTACTGGGCGAAAGTTTAGCACACCACTCCGGCTCGCAGACAGAAACCCAACGCGCGAAGAGATTGGTAAACTCAGGAGAGCGAAAGCCAATCGCTTGGGCTATTGTTACCCCCAAAACACCGCGGGCAGAGTATCAGGAACGTCAAAATAAGCGGTGTAGAGTGACAAGTTTGTTACAACTCTCTGATAATGTTGCCCTGTCTTAGTTTAAAGCACAATCAAGCTGAAAACACGTACCACCATACCTGTTTTACTAGTCTAGCGCCTACCTGTTGAATTTTGGTGGAGCAACAAAGAAGCGAATTATTCATTCAATTTTCACAGTTGAGCAACTTCCAAAGTCCCTCCAAATTTTATTATATCGCAAAGTACAATTACTGGAGCTGATTTCTTTGGATACGGGTGTACAGAATAACCTCCGATTAAGTCATAAAACTCTGCTTTGCATGCCTTACGACATTTTACCGCTTTATCGAGAGCTGATCGAGTCGCATAAATTATGACGTGGTCACCCAGAAATGTTTACCCTACACGGAACAAAATGTAAACACCAAACTCGAAGGGAAAAAAGTGGTGATACAACGAGGGAAAATATGCACCCCTTTGCAAACAAGGCAGTGGTGGTGGTGTCCCTTAGTGCACTCTGGGTCTTGGTTTAAAGGCACTGGTTGAACATGTGCACAATCCTTTATGTTTCATTCTTTATTTATTTACTTTTGAGAGAGAGAGAGAGGGAGAAAAAGAGAGACATGGAGAGAAAGAGAGAGAGAGAGAGAGAGAGAGAGAAAGAGAGAGAGAGAGAGAGAGAGAGAGAGAGAGAGAGAGAGAGAGAGAGAGAGGTGGTTTTGTGTTTTGTAATTATAAAGAAATCTGATGTCCTGGTATTAGGAAAAACATTCACTTTTTAAACACGGACTTAATAATCATGTGAAAAGGATTTATTCGGTTTCTGAGCCATAAACAATATTAGTGTCGATATTAGAGCGAACTCGTATAATACAATTAATCACTTTTCAAATAAATCGAAATATTGCTTAGGGTTAACCGGGTTTCAGAAAATCCCAAGTCCACATCATATACCGTTGTAGTAAAAACACTCTACAAATATAAGTTTCACAATGTTCCACACAAAAGTCTAAAGGAACATTTTGCATGTTCCCCATGAATAAATTATAACACTTGATACTATATACTGACAAATGAAAATCGAATTGTGCAGTTAAGCGGTATGTCAGTCTACAAACTTAAATATATTGGATCAGTATTCTTATGTTACTGATAAATCAAATGCTTTGCAAAAACTTAATTTCAATTCATTGTTATGCCAATTATGATGGTTTTGTGGTTATGTAAGTTTGATTTGAATCATTGTATCTTTGAATGTAAACCCTGTATACCTAACAAATCATCTGATGAGGCAAAGAAAACAAAATAACTATATTGGAATTTATATATTTAATTTATATATAAGTTAATGAACATACTATAAACTACATTAATGAACTTCAACATTTCAATAAGATGTATTGACTAATTACAGTCAATTCGAGAAAGTGTGTTAGGAAAAAAATTCTGTTATGAATATGCAAACTTTTAAAAAAAATCTTACCCTGATTAGGATAGCACATGATTGTGTCTAGGTCAAAAGTTCTGAAAACTGAATGAACTGACTCATGGCTTCCAATCGAATATTGCCGCAATTAAGTCGACTGATTGATGAATCTAGCTATATTCATGTGCTTTCATTCACAGGAGAAGCCAACTTGACCACGTCAGTATGATATTTTTGAGTAATCATAAAATGTTGGATCCAGGCCGACAAAGGCAAGGGGGCACGCAAATCCCACTCCTACATCAATAAGAGATATGAAAAGCTATATTGTCTTGCAGGTCGTAATTTTTGTTTTGACTCGGACTTGCACCCCCCCCCCCCCGCCACCCACCCGGACACACCCACCCACACGTTGAAATTAGTCCCGAATAATTTTAATTTGCATGTTACCCATTATTAAACAATTTGCCGACATTGTCATGCTCAAAATGACAAAAATTGTTTCATATAAATTGCAATTTAAATTATTTAGTGGACTTATTACTTCACTGAACATTTTGCTGTAGAAATGGACCATCGCATTCAGAATTTTGGGCTCAACTTTTTTGGCTTTGTTGCATGTTGACGGGTCATGGATCAAACTACTTTATGTGATGAGTCATGTAAAGAATCGAAATGTTTCATACTGCATAATGGTCAAACACTACCATGGGTATAGTCTTGTTGTTTTGTTAAGATTTGGACGAGGACAATATTGGACCAAGTTACATTATGCCGCCAAAACAACAAGATTTTACCATCATTGCGATGTCAAAATATACAACAAGACAGGGGTAATTGCTAAGCAACTTCACCATTGCATCACGATGTTGGTTAAAATCCTATGGTAAAAACGAAATGTTTGAAACATAGTGTAAATTGGACTGTAATATAGTCCACCTTTAGCTATTAGTTACACCCTAGAGTTTCAAAAATATAATAAAGAAAGATATTCATCTCATTTTCAAGCGGACTTTTGTCAATAATTCATTTTCATTTATTGATTAATTTGAACAATGATCGGACAGTACAAGTATACAATTATTATTGCTTCGACTTACACAAGAATTTAGACGCCTGTTGTTTATTCTCGTGGTGTACTATCATAGAAGGAATGATTACATAAAATTTATATCAAAATTCAGGTAATCGGACAGATAATCATAGCAAAAAAGTGATTAATTGTCATCTCGTCTTCGAATCTGCAATTATGTGTTGCGACACTTGTTCGCTCTTATGTTCCTAATCCTTGTTATGTCTGTTTGCTTACACCGTATTTATTACCCAATAAAACGTGCCTGCTCATCACCCTAACGCAGTGTATAGATAACGCCAATATGTACTCTACCACAACGGTTATATTGAAGGATGACACGTATCAATTGCAGTTTGTATTGACACTTCCCTCGACTAATCGAGATAGAACGAGCTCTTCTTTTCTTCGATTGCTATTTGTAATTTTGATAAGACGGGCCGAGTATCAATTTAAAGACGGTAGTTCGTAAAGACTGGCGCACCTGCGTCTCAGGAGGAAAGATTCCGGTGCCATCATTGTGAATTATTTATGCCCGTATACGTTGCACATAATTATGAGGTGTCTGACGTAGGTTTGCGTCGGCAACTGGCGCGACCTTTGACGCAATGTGAGAATTACATACAGTAGGATAACATACAAGTGAATACTGATTGAACAGAGCAAACATCGCGATGAATAACATGGCATTTAGGCAAATTTCTTTCACTGGTCTGAATAAGATTGATAGTAACGCAACGTCGAAATGTGGGCAACGGGCATCCCCCCCCCCCCTTCTCTCTCTCTCTCTCTCTCTCTCTCTCTCTCCGTTTCAATTCAATTGAATAATGTTTTTTATTAAACAATGCTTGGCAGCCAAAGCTGAATTGCGCATGGACAAAGAAAATTCTTAATATCATTTCACATTACAATGATTACATCGTACCATTAAATATCACACTCAAGATCAAGTGACAAATTATATTTCCTAAAGAATACAATGCTTGAAAAATATGACTACAAATCCATTATTATGTTCATTACGTAAATATATATGTTAAAAGTAAAAATATACATGTTAAAAATAATTTGAAATACATAATGGAATGGTAAAAGTATGAAGTCATTACAAACACTGACTTACTTTGTTAGAGTTATACTACTAAATCCTATGACATGATTAAAATATTTCTATTACTACAAGAAATGTCAATTACAGTTCTTTGTTTACAATAATAATTATGACAAAATCACATGCTTTAAAATATGATATAACCAGATCTCTTTCTCTGTGGGCAACTGTGTTATCGCTTTTAAGTCATAAACGCTTGTAATCAAAATGCATTTAGGAAATGTAATGATGTGAACTTTGAAATAAATTTCTATTTTGAGTTATTTACATAGCCATTGTTATTCAAATTGGCTTCTCAAATTCTGAGTGACAAAATGACCCCCATAATAATTGTGGAATTTAAGTTGGAGAGAGCGATTGTGAGCATTATCAGAGCAGGAAAGAAGCATTCATTTTTAACAACATCATTAATAGTTTTTTGTTAAAATCAATTTATAAGGCAATTTCAATAGCCATGCGCTTTGCTAAGCGAAATGTGCATGCATGAGAATGGTATATTACGTAACCCAAACATGATTCATGCAGAGATACAATAGGGTACTGACATCGCATCTTGAAAATCTTCACGGTCGTCTTCATATTATGTATAACAATTCAGACCTCCCTGAGCGATTCCCTCTTTAAATGACAAATTGCGATGGTTGTGGTTCTATAGACCGGTGTACTAACGTGTTCAAATTCTATGCATACTTTTTAAAGGTATATAGACCAGTTTTAGAAACGCACCCCTCTCAAAAATGAAATGGAAGCTCTTAAGACCAATCATGTGAAAAATTATGTTTTGACTAATACGTGAGGATACAAATTTTTCCGGGAAACCGCCTACTAAATGATATATTTGGTAATTTTTTTATCATCCGGACTAGATAGATATCCCGTAGTCCCATAACATCTCTTTGTGAACAGTGCTTGTAACTTTACCAAGACTGAGCCAAATTTCTTATAATTTTGATGATTCCAGAACCTTGCAGTACACACCATTACTTATTATGCAAGATGATGATCAACCTTTTCTGATCGATTCAACAACGTTTCTTTCACAATGCAATCGCATGACCATAACTAGTCTATATACCTTTAAACAAAGTTTGTTCTTGACAACCTGAAAGCTTGCCTGAGGCTTGCACGACAAAGCAACAAGAAATGTAAACAGATTGGGTTCCAAGTATTGTAATTCATTTATTAAAAACGGGTCAATGGAATAACTCGTCACTAGGTCCACAGGAAAGAAACATCCAGATACTGTATTTGAATAACTTAATAAAACGGTGCGAAGAGGTTAGGAGAAAAAAAATGAAAAATCGCCAAAGTATGGCTGAACTTTTAACTATTGTAGAATTTCATTGTGTCAGGTAAACTGGGTAAAACAACTTCGTAATTGTATGACCTGGGGGGTATTTCACAAAGATCCTAAGTTGAATTTATCTCTAAGTTGGACTTAAAAATTATGGAAAGCCATTAGCATCTTTGAAAATATTTTGTAAAAGTTATTTTGAAAGGCATAAAATGTTGATTCAAATCATTCATATTTTCTATTATCAAGGAGATTTCATGTTCTTGTTGTGGAATTTATAAAAAGTCTAAAATACTTGAATTTCTGCTTTTGAATATATATTTCATTTTAAGGCTCCAATGGCTGTCCATAAGTTTTAAGTCCAACTTAGTGTTAAGTTCTACTTAGGATCTTTGTGAAACACCCCCCTGGTATTTTGAGAATTGCTCCCAAACACCACCCCCCCCCCCCTCCCCCCCTCTCTCTCTCTCTCTCTCTCTCTCTCTCTTTTTCTTTCTCTCTCTCTCTCTCTATCGTTCTCTCTCTCTCTCTTTCCGTCTCTCTTCCTCTCTCTATATATATCTCTCTATCTCTCTCTCCTTCTATCTCTCTTCTTCTTCGTCTTCTTTTAACATAGAGATCAGTGCATCCAATGTGCACAGCGAGTCCAGTAGGTGGAGCTATTCACAGCCATACCCGCTAGACATCAATCTACTGCAGTAAATTTCTCATTCTGTTTTACATGGAATATGTATATGGTTGAACGGGCAGGAAAATATTTCTAAATTTCAATTGACCATTAACTCTTTATTGCATGTCATATACACTCCGATGGAATGATACCCGGTAGCTATTGGTGGTGGTGGTGGTGGTGGTGGTACGGTGGTGGTGGTGGTGGTGGTGGTGGTGGTGGTGGTGGTGGTGGTGGTGGTGGAGGTGGTGGTGGTGGTGGAGGTGGTGGTGGTGGTGGTGGTGGTGGTGGTGGTGGTGGTGGTGGTGGTGGTACGGTGGTGGTGGTGGTGGTGGTGGTGGTGGTGGTGGTGGTGGTGGTGGTGGTGGTGGAGGTGGTGGTGGTGGAGGTTGAGGTGATAGTTGTAGTAGTAGTAGTAGTAGTAGTAGTAGTAGTAGTAGTAGTAGTAGTAGTAGTAGAAGTAGTAGTAGAGGTAGTGGTAGTGGTGGTAGTGGTAGTGGTAGTGGTAGTAGTAGTAGTAGTTAGTAGTAGTAGTAGTAGTAGTAGTAGTAGTAGTAGTAGTAGTAGTAACTTTGTTTACCCAGAATTAACATCAATGCTGTTCTTCCTGAGGATCCTACTATATTATCATTACCCCGGCATTTGTCAGGTACACAGTTACGCATGGGTGGAGAGTGGCAAATAGAAATTAATGCCCGGCTTTGCAAATTAAAGGGACGTTAGAGCCGAGATGGGATTCGAACCCTCAGCCCTGGGATTGAGAGTCACGTGAATGAACCATACACCTTCGCAGTAGTAGGAGGAGGAGGAGGAAAATGAGGCGCCGAGGAGGCGGGGTAGAAGTTGAATTAATAACAATGACAATAAAATAATATAGGACTAGAAGACGTGATGGTGACTGATCAGTATTATGTTTTCCATCGTTTGTTTGTCAATAATAATCATCACATCAAAGAACAATACCACCACCACCACCACCACTATATCACCGGGCAATAAGAACCATAACGCACATTAACTGGTGTATGTTACAAAATTTTATTCCCATAAAGTAATCTAATATCTGAAAGAATACACTGTATTTACCAAAATAGTTTTTACACATACAAGCAGGTTCATTATACAATCATAAGATTTAACATACCGATATCAAATTATTAAAATCTCTGACACCAACGAATTACAAACATGGGGGCATTTATTTTTCCTCTCCTTCTTCTTCTACTTTTTTCTTCTTCTTCTTCTTCTTCTTCTTCTTCTTCTTCTCCTTCTTTTTTTCCTCCCTCCTCCTCCTCCTCTTCTCCTTCTTCTTCTACTTCGTCTTGTTCTTCTACTTATTCTTCTTCTTCTATATTTCTTCTTCTTCTATATTCCTTCTTCTTCTTCATCTTCTTCTTCTTTCTTCAATCTATGAAGCTTATCCGTCGCGTTTGTTTCAATTCTTCCCTTCTTCTATTTAAACTTTAAATTACTTTTTTTAATAATGTCCTTATGTACATATTCTATTATTCCTTTCCATATTTACATTTTTATGATAACGAATGGCTGTGGATGGTAATGATGACACAGTAGAATATAATGATAATAATAATAATAATAACATTCCGCTTATATAGTATAGTATTAATGACTGCTTTGAGAGAAATAGTTGTTTTATTACGCTCAAGGGAAGGTTAGAATTGTGCTATTCCCCGAGGCTTGCCGAGGGGAATAGCCCAATTGTAACCTTCCCGAGAGCGTATGAAAACAACTATTTCTCGAATATTAAAGCAGTCATTAATACTTTTATATGCCGAAAAAAAATAGACTAAAAAATAAAAAATAAAAAATAATTTACATTTTTGTCGAAGACGGGATTCGAACTCTTGCGTACAACAAGAGGTGTATCGAAAACCAACGCTTAGACCACTCGGCTATAGCGCGCCGTCAACATGCTTGGCAGTTTTCTCCAATATATACATTAAAATGGATTGAAAACGGCTCCGCGTGAGGGATGCTTCGCAAAAGCTCCATGAAACGGACCCTTCTTTTACTTTTGCAATGCATATTGGCACGAACTTAGATCAAGATCTATCGGCAGATGTTTTTTTTTGTTTTTGAGAGTTAATTTTCGTCTTCATGTCAACAATGCAAGATAAAATTGTCGGTAAGATCGATCGAGATTCAATTGTATTGAAATTGCCGACCAATTTTTCGCACACGTATGGTATCCTCCATCGCTCAAACCATTTTTTAACATGTAAACCTATGGGGTAACCATGGAGACTGACCTATTTTTTTAATAACCATGGTTATTAAAAATATTGAAATGTTTTATGCATGGTTACCGGGAATTTTACAGGAACAGTTGAAGTTTATGAATGCAATTCGACCAATCAGATGGCTGGATTTCTTAAGTGAGGTATATAACGCTTAATAGTGTCTCTAAGCGCTTTACAAATATACTATTACCCGGTCATTGGATTCAGTGCTTGCCCGCACACACTGTGTGCACAATCTCCACTCCCTGGGGAGCATTCCAGCCAGGCGTTACTTGACGCTCAAAAACTGTTTGACCAACAATGACGGTCGTATCCTACCGGGTAACACCTGGGTGGAAAGTAGCACGTGCAGGTTAAATATCTTACCAAAGGATACTAGTGCCGTGTCGGGATTCGAACCCTCGACCTTCGCATCTCCAGTCAAGCGCCTTAAAACACTCGGCACGACACTCTCATGATTACATGATAAAGTCCATTTTCAAAATCAACCTCGGAGTAGGGAAAAAATATCTTTTTCTAAGTTTGAATATGAAACAGACTCTTTTTGTGTTAATACACATCAGGCCTCTTGCGATTTTTAATATAAAAAATATCACTTCCTTTCGTTCTAAATAAGATAATAGGCATACATTTAAAATATCTTCTTAAAATCAAATGAATATTATAAGCTAAATAGGTTCCATGTAGCTTTATGGGTACCAATCTCGCTACAGGCTGACATTGATTAAAACATCTGCTGTGGGGTTTGATAGTAAAATATAATAGAAAAATTAAGGCATGGGAATTTACATTTTAGACAGAAATATTTAGTTAAATGTTGGAAAAGGCTATCACCATGGATAGAACTTTTAAAATAAAATGAAATAAATAAGCCTCAGCAGTCAACGAGTTGCTATTCTCTGGAATTACTAATTCAGATCAAACATGTTACAGAAAATATAGAAATACTCGTGCAAACATATATTTTTTACACCTATTGGAATGTAATGCAAATAAGAAAAGTGAATCCAGTGATAACAGCGTAGATAATACACCATCTTGAAATTCTGGTACAACATGATCAAATGATATTTATGAGGTGGAACATATAACACACAAACAAGTTACATTGAAATATCAAGAGCATACATATTAATAAGGAAAAAAAGGGAATTCTACAAAGTATATTTGAAACGTGGGATATGATGGTTGTAGGCCTATAGGAATTCCAAAGCTTTTTATTAAAAAATTTTGTTTGCTTTTTTCTTTATTCGTTCACAATAAACAAACAATACAATATAGAAATACAATAGTATAGTATATAATAATACAGTATAGAGAGAAGGAGAGAGGGAGAGAGAGAGAGAGAAAGAGAGAGAGTGAGAGAGAGAGAGAGACGAGTAGTTCCCTGAAAATGACTACAACAAGTGCCATTCTGATATAGTGTATAGAACATAAGATGGTATAATACTAGGACGGATGTATATACAAAAAAAATGTAATTTTAGTGTTAAAGATAGTCCTTTTACATTTTTTTTTAAAACGGGCATTTCTTTCAATCTATATAAAAGTCCAGTCAAGTAGCAATACAGAGCTACACATTTTCTTGGACACTGACTTCAACGTCCGTCACCGTGCACGGCATCGTCTTTTTCTGTTTCTTCTTGGCGTCTCTCATCCTCCTCGTGCACCTTAAACGACTTCAATGTGAGCCCGCCCTCCACGTGGACTTCGACTGCGTCCGCCCCTTCGTTGTCGTAAGACCCGCTGTTATTGTTGTTGTAGCTGACACCGTTGCCGTTCATCTTCGTGCTTGTTTCGGAGGTCGGGTGGTCGAAATGTCGGTAGCGGTGTTTGATGTCGTTGAGAGCAGACTCGGAGTCGCGCTTGCTGCTGTTGAAGTGGTGGTCGGGATGGTCCTTGCCGGAGGGCGTTCGGCCGATTCGCTTGCGGAAGAAGAAGCGGGCGAAAATGATGAAGATAAGCATCTCTGCGACTGTCAGCAGATCGCAGTAATCTGGATGAAAAATAAGAGAATGGGAACATTAATTCGACGGTCTTGTCAATATCTTAGAGCTTCTGTTGCGGTGCGGCATTGATTACAAAAAATAATATGTTAACTTATCATTATCAAGGGTCGTTATACTATGCTTGATTATGATTGTGTTAAATGAAATCTAAACCGAGAGTAAATGCTTCATCGTTATGAAAGATCAATTTGACTCATAATTTGTTTTAAATAATTGGGTATTGTCATCTATAGAGGACAACACAAAAATCACAATTTATTAATGCAATCGCCTCTGAAACAAATTAGGGAAAGCTATGAAGGCAAATCGTTTTTCAATTGTGATTTCAAGAAAGTAGTTAAGTATTGTCCAAGTACATGGCGGACTGGATGATGAGACATGACATAATCGACAGACATGACAGAGAGAGAGAGAGAGAGAGAAAGAGAGAGAGAGAGAAAGAGAAAGAGAGAGAGGGGAAGAGGGGGTGAAGAGGGTGGAGAGGGAGGGAGAGAAATAGTGTGTGAGAGTGGGAGGGAGGGAGACGGATAGACAGACAGATTATATAGACAGGCAATTGCGCAAAGTGGGAAAAAAGACACAAAGACGGACTAGAGAGAGAGAGAGAGAGCTAGAGAGAGCTAGAGAGAGGGAGAGAGATATAGAGAAGAGCGACACAGAGAGAGAGAGAAAGAGAGAGAGAGAGAGAGAAGTAAGAGAGAGAGGGGAAGGATAAGGGAAGAGCCTCTCAAATAGGTGTGGTGACTTACAGTACCCCCTTGTCAACGCCGCCATCGGGTATTCACAGGGGACCAAGCCAGTAAGCACGAAGCAGCCGACGATAACCAGCTGAGAGGTGATGAGAACGAGGACGAGCTGGACGAGGAAGAACTTGGACTGGACGTTGTAGCCCTCTAGGGGGGCCTTGGAGATTCGCATGAGGATGATGACGCCGTAGAGGGCGATGAAGGTGGAACAGAGAGCGATCACGGTGAGCCACACGTACGCGCTGTCAATCGTGAACTATGTTTGGGAAAGAAAAGTAATTAATCAATTATAAATGTATTTAGGGCGATGCCAGAGTCTGTATTTCTTTCTCATTGTTCGTATTATTATTTCGTTCTTTTTTCGGAATTCCTTTTGATGGGGGGCTGTCTTTGAAAGTCTATGACAAGAAGAATTGAAGGACAAGGATAGAGGTCATTTCGTCGGCTGCGTCCCCGTAAGAAGGCCGTTACCAGGCGCGGATCCAGGATTTCTTAGGGGAGGGGGCCCAACTTTTTTTTTTTTTTGCTCCCGAAAATTTGAAAATCGCGCCGGCCGAAAAGTCGCTCAGTGGGGGGGGGGGGGGGGGGGGGGGGGGGGGGGGGGGGGGGGGGTAGTGAGCACTATTTTTTTTTTTGGTCCTCGAAAATTTTAAAATTTGCACCCCCCCCCCCCTTGAGCGACAGGAGGGGGGGCCCAACCCCCCAAAAAGGTAAAAATCGCGTGATTTTGCATGATTTTTTTCTCAAGGGAGGGGGGCCGGGCCCCCCGGCCCCCCCCCCCCCCTGGATCCGCCACTGGCCGTTACTGCCATGGACGTAACATCATTGCTCTTGCGGCCTTCTGACCTCCTCTTATATCCCCGATTCAGTAGCTTCGCTCCTCAGTGTGGCCTGATTCCCCCACCCCCCCCCCCCCCCTCGTCCAACTGGAATCGGCTATATATTCCGCTCGACACTTATGAATTCATGGTACTTAATTACATTAAAAGTCATGGAACATATAGCTCCCGTCAGCCCATGGAATAAGAGCAATGCAGTTACAGATGGGTCAAATGAACACGAACTGGAGAACTTATACGAATTAATGTGGCCAGATCCCCCCCCCCCCCCCCCACCGCCCCGTCCAACTGGAATCGGCTATGCCACTCGCCACTTTTCGAATTCATGGTACTTACAAGTCCTGGAACATAGCTCCCGTCAGCCCATAGAATTAGAGCAATGAAGTTGCAGATGGGTCGAATGAAGACGAACTGGAGAACGATACGACGAAGTCGGAGCAGGTTCTTGCTATTGGGGGAGAAGCAGAAATTACAGTGATCAGATTAAAGTGATCAGATCCTCGGATTAACTGAAAAGAGTCAGTTGGTTGATTGGTTGGTTCATTGGTCATTTGATTGATTGATTGATTGGTTGGTTGGTTTGGGGTTGGTTGATTCTTGATTGGTTGTTTAATTGGTTACTTGGTTGGTTGGTTGATTGGTTGTTTAGTTGGTCACTTCGTTGGATGATTGGTTGGTTAGTTATTTGGTTGGTTGGTTGGTTGGATAGTTGGTTGTTTAGTTGATTATTAATTTGTTGTTGGTTGATTGGTTGTTTAGTTGGTTACGTGGTTGGTTGAGTGGTTGATGGGGTTGGTTGGTTGAGTGGTTGATTGGTTGGTTAGTTAATTGGTTGGTTGGTTTGTTGGTTTGTTAGTTGTTTAGATTATTTGGTTGGTTGATTGGTTGTTTAGTTGGTTACGTGGTTGGTTGAGTCACTCAGTGGTTGGTCGGTTTGTCGGTAGATTCATTCTTTTATTGGTTGATTTATTAGCTATCAAATTGTCTTTCAGTTGTTAATTAAACATAAACGTTTGTTTGGCTACGTTGTTGATTTCCAAACAACACTTAGAGATATCCAAAATGAGAACTTACGCATTCATTTCGGGCCGTGGAAGACAAGGACAACAGCAGAGCAGAGGTGGGCTAGCGATGGGGATCGTTGTGCCTTTCAGCTTGACGAGCAGTTGATCCCGCCCACCAAAATAACTCATGATCAGCATCAGGAACTGAAAGAGGGCCAGCGAGAAATACCTGTAGGAGAAAATGACCGAGGCCGTTTGCAATTTGTTTATTATTAGTTTGGCTAACTGGGCCACATTTCACGAAACCGTTTACAAGTTTAACGACATCCCATCATGTGAAACGCTTCCAATATATATCGGCGAACTTGTACTTATGACGATTTCATGAAACCCTGCCATGGCCTACATCCGATGTAAAGTTGAAGTCAAATTACCCTATAGGTGTTGAAAAATGTAGTAATGGGAGAAGTTGCCTAATCATTTGATAAGCTTTGTAATATATAAACGATTAAATTGGGTAACTTCAGATTTACTCATGGGACACACTTTACGATGAATTGTTATAATGCTTCTGAAACATTTTCTTTATTCGAAAATAGAAATGCGATAGTTTGATGATCATGTTTCAGACTTATTCAGAGTGTGTATAACAAAATGCGAATGCAAGGTAAACTGGCAACTTTTGTTTTGTTTTACTGATGTGTGCGCTAAGCTCCTTCACGGGCTTCAAAAACGCAGATAAGATAATAACGTTAACGAAATCAAATTGACGCTCCGTCATGATCATGTTCGTGTACAAATTGAATCGAATTGAAATGTTTGGCCAAATTGAGAAATCGTTTACAGCGTAAGTATACATTATATTTACAATCATAATAAACATATTTAACAAATATAGGGACATAAACAATATTAGAGAAGAACAAAATAATGAAATGGTAGACTATACTTACAGTGTAGCGGTAAGGTAAGTAATCAGATGTGCTCTCGGAACGTAGAGTGCGAGCAATGATGTACATGAGTAAACCTAAATAAAAGAAAAAAAAATAATAGTCTTTCAAGGCTTCTTGTGTATGCTAATGATCAAATACGGACCAACCAACAATAGCAACAACATGAGCAAATGTCGTAGATATCATATGAGAGTGGATGACTAATGATCAATATAAAAATAAATCAGTAAAAGCAAACTTATTAGGCTCAAAACAAATTTAATCGTAATTTTTGAAAAAAGGAGGGGTTAATAGAGAAAGGAGACAGGTAAAGACCATTCGCAGTAAGGCCATTAAAAAATATACATGTTTAGCGCCCCCGCCCGCTTCCTTTTTTGGGGCCGCCTCCTTTTTTTTTTTCTTTTTTTTTTAAATAAATTTGTTATAATTTTTTTAAAGAAAAAAAAACATGAAAGACACTGCTAAAATGTTCTATTTCTGGTTTTAAAAAAAATTAAAAAATTACCCGCGGCCATTTTGAAAAATAGCCCGACTTTCAGGGAAAATGTACCGAGCGGCCATTTTGAGCGGCCATTTTGAAGAAGAAAAAAAAGGGCCTCCTCCTTCCTATTTTTCAAAAGGGCAGGATGCTAAACATGTTTTTTTAATAATTTGGCCTAAAGGTTTATTTAATTTTTTTTTTTTTTTTTTTTTTTTTTGGGGGGGGGGGGGCTTATTTTTATCAATATTTTCATCTCGGGACTCTGTAACCGTGGTTGTCTACAGTCTGAGCAGTGTCGGTTCCCCAGTGCTGTTTCTGTAAGTTAATTTTATTACATTTTGATCAGATACTGATTTCGAATCACTGATTATGACGAATCACTGACGGATAATTTATAGATTTTATGTAGCAATATTATTTATTGGTGCCTTTTACGTGCGCAGTATAATTGTAGCTACAAGGTATTATTATAAGTACATGTAGTAGTAGTAGTAGTAGTAGTAGTAGTAGTAGTAGTAGTAGTAGTAGTATTAGGAGTAGTAGTAGTAGTAGTAGTATCATCATTATCTTCATTATTATCATTATGCAATCTTGTAAAGGATTGTCCATCATGACTTACCGGATAGATCCCCATAATAACCGTGAGTCTAATACGGGTTCGACTATCGTTGACTTTCTTGTTGATATAGTGACAAGCCTCGAGATACATGATGACGGTAGCAACACTGAACAGGGACATGAAGACAATTAACACGATAGCCGCAGAGTTCGAACTATAATCTGGATTTAGAAGGACAAAAATGAAATAACTCATGTAAACGCTTTCATACTTGGAAGCTTCTTTTGTAACGCCGTGATGTTAGTATATAAAGGAAATGTTCATTGATAATTTGGCGCATTTTGGCACCCCTCCCCCTCCCTACAAGGGCTCAGGGGCGTCGCGAAACAATATTAGTTATGAGAAGTGTGAATTGTTCAACGAGCCCCTTTCCACCCTTATCACCGAAACATTGTATTGGTCATATTCTGACAAGGTAAAACAAAAAGATTCCCAAGCGTTTGGGGTATTTATAGCGCTGTGTATGATTTTGGTCAACCACTAACCATTATTTCAACATAAACGAGTAAGATAAAAGAGTTATGTTCAAGGTACGAATTAATTCATATAACAATGATTCCCAAAATAATGATATCATTTAGTTTAACCGTTTTTATATTGCCATATCTTTTTAAAGATTCCAATTGTCCAAGTTTAAAATCTAGGAATAAGAAGAAAATAAAGTGTTCACAATTTTATGTAGAAGGGTATCTCTGATTTATTATGATGTCTTTGATGCAACCATAATTCCTTAAGAGTATTCAAAAATGATAATGAGAAAAACAAACAAACAAACAAACAAATGGAATTATACGTACAATCGAATAACTGCTGCGATGTCGGTTCGGAGGTAACGCACGATGAATTGGATGCCATGGTTGATCGTCAATAGAATCTTTCCAAGCTTTATAAGGAAAAAACGAAAAAATACAAGCATGAGTTTTCAGTCATATTATAGTTAATTATGTTAGACTTTCCAACATGGTCAAGCAGAATAGATAGGAGTTTGATAGCGTACAAGTGAGCTTCAATAATTCTGCACACGAGAGAAGAGGGTCATTTTGGGAACTTAGGGGGAAATAGAAATAGAAGGAAGAGGGGGGAAAAACATAGGAGGGAGAGAAAAGAACAAGTGACAGACGGGCCGACTAACAGAAAGATACTAGAAGAGCGATGAAATCGAGTCGGTTGAGACATAGACCTAGCATAGAGCGAACGACAAGAGGATCGGGGGGGGGGGGGAGGTAGATTTCAGGTTTTTTGTAACAGTTTTTGTATAATGTTTTTTGTATAATATTTGTATAAATACTCAATGGCATTGATTTTAAATACAAAAGTTATCAATTTAAGGAAAAATTGTATCACTTTATAGGAACTGCACTTTAAATGAGAGTAATACTCACAATAACCATACCCAGAAAGGAGGATTATTATTTGTATGAAAGAATTAAAAAAAAATCTTTTACATGACTTTTGTATACGTTTAGGATTTACTTTAATTGTACTTTAATTGGAATTGTAGATTAATTTGCTTTGATTTTGCACCTCTAACAAACATTAACATAATTTGATGGAATTCAAAAAGCTATGAAAGAATAAAAAGGTTGAATAACATTATAAGTTGTATATATGTATTTCTATTCCTCGCCTCGGGGTCACTATTTGTAGCAATGTCTTTTCAATTTTTGATACGAAACACATTTGCATTGTTAACGAAAATCCTCATTATCATACCAAAAAAAAAAAAAAAAAATCAGTCAGGAGCGCCATATCAAAATCAGTCTCTACTTCGATATGCTACTCATCAAAAGTCATCAGATTCTATTTTCGGTTTTAACATAGATTTACAGGAGCATACATATGAAGAGCACTACTCGAGTCATAAATAAAACACTTAAGCTTGCAAATACTGATGAGGTTTTCTGTAAATGCTCAATTCGAGAGCAATTAACAGATTTAAATTCCGACTCTGATGATGCACACTGTCTTAATTGACTCGTATATTGCACCTGGTGGGTGAGTTTGTGAGACAAGTTTACAACGGGATGTTTAAGCGTATATATTTCGGCCTTTTATATACTTTGTGTAATGTATATACAAGAAACAGGAGTAAATCGGATGTAATTCATTTGGGAATTTATGTGAGACGATATAACTGCACCGTGACGCATAGTTTGTATACCTGGTGGATTGGCCAAGTATTACCAGATAATGATTTGGTCTCATTGATTACATTTTGTGGAATGTTTCCTCAAAACATTGCTTTTCAACAATTTAAGTTAAGAAAGATAATGTTTATGCAGTTGTATTTCTTTATTCAGACCAATGATGCGACTTCGAATGATGATGTATGTTAAATTAAAATGGCTGAGTGCATGCATGTATCAATATTAGAGCAAGGAATTTTATAATTTCCTAAAATCTCCGATTGATCATATTTAATCTAATTTGTTTTTACGTCACGTTGTCATACAATCGCACAATGTGACCTTTACATATCTTTCTGAAACTTAACATTCCTGTGATTATACATTTCACTTCTTTGTAATCCATCGACTTTACAATTCGTAGCCCACTAAAATATAGACTCTAAAAACATTTACATAAATTCAAATTTCTCTTACATCAGCAAACCATTCTGTTTGAGTATAAATTTGCGGTAAAATGTCTAAAGCAAACGAGCACATCGGAACGTATCAACATTTTCTCTCGCTGCCGTTCATCTTACAAGTAATAATTTAAAATTATAAGCAATAAATAGTTTCACCGGTGATTCAAATGTTCACATCTTGTAAAATAAATAACTGATTGTATACAATTACAGAAAGAATGATATGGGGAGAAAAGATCATCATGAATTTGATGAACTTTTGTTTCAAATATTTGAGCACTGGTCTCGCTCAATATTTGCTATTTTGCTCAATGTCAATGTCTTCCAGAATAATTTTATTTCTGAAATATTTCTCAAGTATGGGAGAGTTGGCCATCCAGGATATAAGTGGTGAGCATACATTGATGGTTATTGTGGTTGTGCTTGCTTAACATTAATCAAAGTTCAGAAAAGCTTTTGTCGGTTGAAGAAGCGGAGAGTATTTTTTCTTCTTTTTCAAAAACTCTACTTGACTGTGCAAACTACTTCTATTTGCTGTGCTGCCTGTGCATGTCTGACCGGGTATAGGTCTATATTACTCGGACAATAAAACTAGTCCGTAGATTGGTGAAAGACAAAAAGAAGTCAAGATTTTGCGGCAAGTATATAAAACGCGCCAATAAATAAAAGTGAAAAGAGAAGAGACATTCAAGTAAAATGCTTGTTGGCTTACACAATAAGCGTATATATTTATAAGGGCACAATTTTTGCCAAGGAAATTATTTCTCTTGCCCAAATTCTTTTTTTTTTAATTTCCAAATATCACGAGCAAGTTTAACAAAGAAGCATTATTTTGACAGTTTTTTAGTAGCGACACTGTTATTTGTTAATTCGTCGTAAAATATACTTATTGAAATGTTCTGGATTTCAAAGAAATATATCTTATACCAATATATCTTATACAGTCAAACCTGCTTTAGTGACCACCTGTCTACAAAGGCCACCTGTCTACAACAACCACATTTTTGTTTCCCTTGAAAATGGTTTCTCATTGAAACATGTACTAAAGGAACCTGTCTACAAAGACCACTTTTTGTGTTTCCCTTGGGCGGTCGCTGTAGACAGGTTTGACTGTACCTATAAAAGCTAGCGATGAAAATGCTTTTGTTTGGTAAGTCGCTTTCATTATCACAACAGTCCTCCCTCTTTTAAAAATATAAAGGTCAACTATAATTATAATCTATTAAACACATTACATGAGGAAAGGAATATTGATGAAATAAAAACAATATAATCAATTAAGAAATGATTACGTCTTATATAGACAATAGAAATGAAAAAAGTGTTTTTGGAATATGTTGATGTGCCTTATGAGCGCTGTAATTCTAGACATTAATAACCCCAACAATCTGCCTCTAAACTTCTGTTCAATTCAATCCACTTCAATTCATGTAGATTTTACTCAATCCAATTAAATTAAATTCGATCCAATCAAATTAAATTCAATCTAATTAAATGCAATCTGATTGACTTCTCTAAAAATCAATTTAAGCAAACTACACCTTCGGATTCAAATAAATTCAGTAACATTTAATTCAAATCAAATCATAAGTTTATCGAATAAAATAAAATAAATGACTTACACTTTGTTTTGAAAGAAAAGAAATACAACAGCAACGAAGCGGACGGACTCAGTTTGGTGAAAGCAGACTTCACTAATTAAAAGCTTGACCTGATGGTTGCAAGACTCCGGATAGAGGTTTGTCGGTGTTACACAACTTCTCCAGTTGACCAAGGAAGTTTGAATCTAAAAATAAGAGCTCTTTTTCTTTCTGTTAAAAGCAAAAGTCAAACTTAACAAATCGACGCACGGATGACCGATCAAACCAAACTCTCGAAGCTGAAATGAAACAAATCTCGTTCTGCATTTGCAGAAATACTTCGGTATTTATTCGAATTCGATGACAAATATCGGCGGGGGGGGGGGGAAGCTAGAGCGACTGGTTCGTGTGTAGCTAACTCATAAATCATTGTCACACAGCCAGCGTTGACTTTTCACAATCAAACTTTGCTTACAAGGTGTGGGGGTGAACAGTTTTATGACAAGCAACGAAATCCTTATCTAGACATCCTTAGCTGTTTCGCAGTTATATTTAGTCTTTTGTGTCTTCCTTTTAATTTCAATTCCAATCTTCCTATTTTTTATTGATTTTTCAAGGATCTGAAGGGAAAATACATTCTCATTCCCTTTTACGAAGCCATATTAATTCTTTAGGGAGTCAGACGTATACTGGGCGGTTAAAGTCTGTATCTCGTATTATGAAAAAAGGCAACATATTTAGATATATTTTAGGGAGATTTTATCTGAAATGGGTGATAAATTTCAGTCTTTCAAAACCTTGCAAGTGTATATACATGTTTATAAAATGATATATAATTAAATGTAGCATATAGTATCCTGCAGAACAGGAAAGAGTGCAAGTTGTATTGCTTGTTTATCCAGGCTCTTTAACACGGGAGAGGGGGTCCGGAGGCGTACGCCGTATCCAATATTGGATACACCAATGTCGTGTAGCTGGATATGTTAGAACAGACCTATCCGCCACAAATTCAGGGAGCACAACCTATTTAAATCCCATCCCAAGTATTTAATACCATACACTAATGAAGGGAAAAAAATCCCATGCATTCCGATTTTTTTCGACCTCAGGTGCATATATATTTTTGAAGAATAAATTAGAAACTAAACTGTGATAACATACATCCTTACTTTTCTCCCTCCTCTTCCTTTGTTTTTGCTTGCCGGAAGATTTTCGGAATGGTGCCCTCCCCATTTTTATTAACTTTTTCAAGAATTCTAAATATATGCCTATGGTGTGTTGGAGCATGGACCTATTGAATAATAGGTCCATGTTGGGAACATTACAAAATCAACCCTCACCTTATAGACTGTTCCTCTATAATTATTCCATATGTTAATGATATCCAAAGTCCTTTTGCAACGGCAGAAGGGTGTTTATTCAAATACTTTAACCCAGAGAGTTAATGCACTTTTGGCTCTGAACGGACGAAGTTATTGTTTTTGTATGATGTATTTTGTACTTGTATAGCGCATATCACAATATCTCTAGAAAAGAATTTGAAGGTAAATGTTTTAATAGTCACGTTGAAATCAGAAACAACATATTTACGTATCAATATGCGTGTATTTTTCCAAAGGACTTTGGATATAATCAACCCGGCTACTTTAGCTTCATCAACCGTAGGGCACAGTGCATGCAATAAATAGATACTATACCAGGTACCCACTTACTATACCCGTCTGGGTCGAGAGAGGCAAATGTAGATAAATATACTTGCCAAGAGATGTTTGTGTCGTGGTAGGGATTCGAACAGATGGCTCAGTGGTATTTAGAGCAGTGGTCTCGTAACCGGGAGGTCTCCGGTTCGAAACCTAGTCGATGCGCTAATGCCCTTTGGTAATTAAGGCATTAATCCTCATTACCGAATAGTTGGAGAGGACTTAAACCGTCGGTCCTCTGGTTGCTTACTTACAATTATTAAGCACACGCATGGTTTCTTAGCAGTTAGGTACATCAATAAAAACAAACCAATCCCGGTGATCTACATGTACTGGGTATGGTGACTTATCCACTAGACCACAACTTTCACGTAAGCATCAGTAAGACTATACAAATCATGTATCCGAAAGTAAACTTGGTTTAATTGATTCATTTGATCAAGACATTGATAGAGAAGCGTTTCGATTAATCATTGTGAATGGCAAAACTAATCTGCTTCAGTAGCCATGAAAGCTAATATTTCTTCATGGTTTAGACGTTAGTGAGACATTCAAGTGAGACAGATTCAGACATATATTTCAGTATAATCTTAATTAACAATTATTTTTGCTAATGGACTACTTAAGCTTGATCTGAGCACGCAGCGCAAAAAAGGTTTAGCCCCCCCCCCCCCCCTTCTTTTTTGTTTAGTTGAGAAACAAAAATGAAATTCTGGGGCGGAGGGGAAGTAACTGCCTAGCGAGTAGCGAGATTCATGTTCCGGAAAACTCGTGAAGAAGAAGAAGAAGAAGAAGAAGAAGAAGAAGAAGAAGAAGAAGAAGAATGATAGGACGCAAAGAGAAGAAGAAGAAACAGAAAGAAGAAAAAGAAGAAGAAGAATAAATAGAAAAATAATAGGCCTATAGAACAACAGCAGCAGCAGCAAAAACAACAACGAATTAAGACAAGAACAACAACTATAATATGTTCAGTAATAATACAATAAGAGCAACGAGATAAAAACGGAAGACGAATTAGATGAGGACATTTTAATTTACACAGCACACTAGGAAATGATTTGGAATGATGAAGTAAAACAAATTAAGTAAGAGATAATCTGATTTTTATTCTTAATATAAGAATACATGGTTTTTTTTTTTATAAGATGTAAGCGTATCTTGCCTTTATAGTAAAATCAGGCTTTTTTTCTTCAATTCATTTATCCATTTATTCATTTTGTTGGTCTTCCTCTTCCATATTCAATATATTTTTATCTGAGCCTCGTCGATCCACAGTAGAAAATCCTTCCACATATAATATTTGACGCCATGTTCCCCCTAAATCGGTCATTTCAGGATTACCCAACTAGACGGTCTAACGAGTTTTATGATGGTCCTAGATTTTGGAATTTTCTAAGTGATCATATCATCCCTAAATTCTTCAAGAAAAAAAAATACACTTATGCTCAAATCTTATAGTAATATACAATAATAATCTGATAACAGTTGGTAATCATCTTAATTTTTTAGTTAGATCTTCATCATCTGCTAGATTAATTGAACATTCATTTGGTCTTATGAAATTAACTTCCCAGAAACACCAATTTATACCTCTTCTTCGGTCACGATTTGTCCTGCTTTTTCCTTTTTCCTTCTTCCTTCTTCCCCCTTTTCCATTTTCCTTCTCCTTATATCTGTTTTACTTCTTCTAGTCGTTTCGTGGTTGTTTGTTCATTGTTTTGTAATATTGTTTTCCAAGTCTTCGTGGTCACAATATGAAACAATCTTTTTTTCTGGGGGATCCACAAACTACAAGCAATGCTTTTTAATGGACCCCCCCCCCCCCCCCCCCCCCCCCCCCATTTCCTCAGAAATTAAGAATTTCTCTATGGTTACCAAGAAAAAATGAATTATGTATGAACAAATGTAATACCTTTGTTTATCTTTCTGTTGGAAATGAAATAAATATGAATTGAATTGAATTGAATAATTATTCACGTTTCTTTGGCAGAAATATCCATTAGACTAGTAATGTTCTATAAAAAAAAAAAAACACGATGACCTTGGACTTCAACTTTCAAGGCATGAGGTAAACAGCTGATTGTTTAGCCCCGCCCACTCGACTCTCGGCTGAGTGCACGGTCTTCAACAACATGGCTTCGTCTTTGCGTAAAATAGGGCAAAAAATATTGTTATCCCACTGCAAAAGGGATTACAATATACTTCAACGACTACTTTCTAATGTGAGTATTCAAATGTATCTACATGAATGTGAATTTGTATTCAATTCGTGCTTTGTATGTATCTTTAAAAACATAGGCCAGATATATCAGTCCCACGTGCTCTTATCTGTGTTTTGTTGTTGATATTGGTTTAGATTCTTTGAATGAAAATGCTTCGTCATGCCCTATGCTATGGCATATAGGGCAAAGGTCAAACCCATTTTATATGATTTTCATTTCATATTATTCCATGACTGTGTACGTGTATTGTGCTTGATTAATGATGTGGTGTGTAGGTTTATGATGAAGATAAAAAGAGGCAAGTATCTTTTTTGTTTTAAATGGGCGCTAGTGACATACTTTCGTATCCATTTTTGACCCATTACTCCCACTAAAACATACCAAAAATCAACTAAATCTTCTTCAATTTTTCAAATAATGGTCATGATATAAATTTGTTATATTTCTTACCCCTTTCGTGTCAATTTTCTTATCTTTTTTGGAGTATTTTTTCCTAAAAACGAAGACAGTATAATATTGACTTTCTCACAGGTTCCACGGCAAACCGCTGCACAATTACAATACAATTGCATACTGTACCACCCCAACAAAGGGCCAGGGTGCGGGCGCGTGAGCGTGCATGACGTTGATTAATACAGTCGCTAACTTCACGCACGCTCGCGCGCCCGTACCCCTTCATATCGTCAGTACGACACAGTATGCAATTGTATTGTAAATGTGCAGCGGTTTGCCGTGACATCTGTGAGAAAGTGAATATTATAATGTCTTCGTTTTTAGAAAAAATACTCCCCAAAAGATAAGAAAATTGATCAAATCATGATCATTCTGTAATATTCTGATATTAATTTGTTTATGTTTTCTAGGATGTCCGAAAGGGTTTTGTTGGCATGGTTGGCAGGTAAGTGTTTTTTTAATGTAGCTTACATAGTTACAACTTTAAGTCCCTCTCTTTTTCTCCTTTTCCATGAAATCGTTTGTAACTCTGTATTACTATTCAATAAAAATATGTATTTTGTGTAATATTTTGTACACATTTGTTTCTATTTCTGTTTGTAAAAGTTTCATTGTAATCTACAATTTTTTTTTAAATTGGGTACTCAAAAACGTATTTACAATTGTTATTGATATGCAAAGTGTTGCACATTTGACCATGTTTGATAGCAATTACATACTCTTGATTTTTTTTCTTCAATTTGATTAAAGAGAAGGTATTGAAAATTAGGTTAAAAAAATGACGAAAGTTTGGGTTGTTGACTTCAATCTGTAAAATTCATGAAAATCAATGCAGCAAGTGAGAAACTTCTTCATGTATCAGTTTTAAACACATAACATTTTTTTCTCACTCTCCCTGCCAAGTTAATGTGAGAGGGCCTGCGGTCCTGAAATGCGCTATATAATGACGAACTATTATTGACTATTATTATTATTTTAACATATCGTCGCTGTTTTCACGAAGTGACGGTAGTGAGCAAAATCGTCACGCAAAGTGAATACAATTTTTTTTCACTACCGTCACTTCGTGAAAACAGCGACGATATGTTCTTTCAATTTCTTTTTAGGACGCCGCTGATTCGATTGAATAAAGTCAGCGAGGAGACAGGATGTGACATTGTGGTCAAAGCTGAGTTTGCAAATGGAGGGGGCTCCGTAAAAGACAGAGCTGCCCTCTTTCTCATTCAACAAGGCATTGATCAAGGTTAGTAGTCTCTAATGCAATTTCAAAAGGTACCATTCAAAATGACATTAGGTTGTTGGGATAGCAAGATAGCCAGAAAAGGAAGACCTTGGGAATTAGCCCTGAAACAAAATACAATTTGAAATTTGGAACAGCCTTACGGCTAGAGTTAACCATCTTTTTACCTAGCAGATTTTTCCAACAGAAGTCATAACAAAATGTCTATGTGTTATTAAACTTGTATAATAAAGCTCAGGCTACAACATGTTAAGTTTTGATTTATTTTATTTTGGATTTTGATTTTCTTTTTTCTTTTTAGGTCGACTTAAGGCTGGCGGCACAGTGGTGGAAGGAACTGCAGGAAATACAGGTAAATGCCTCCTCTTAATTTGTTTGTATTATCATTTTTTCTTTTTCAGAAATAGTTCAGCTAAATATGATTTAGTTAAAATTCAGTGAACTTAATCAATAAACTTTTTTCCACAAAGGGTTCATTCACTTTCTGTTGGAATAAATCGTAAGAGTATAGGGTACATATATATGTGCTAAAGCAGTTTCTGTAGTCAATGCACAAAGAAAATTGCACACAATTTGAATCATATTATGTAAAAACATTACCAATAGGCGATAATTTAATAATCTGTAACAACTCTTAAAGCCCCACTGTCCTAATTGTAGGTACTTGCTCCCTCTATAAAGAAAACTTCCCCAATTGGTGCCTGTTGGTCCCCCATGATCCTCTTTTTCTTATGTTAGTTGAGAGCTGAGTTGATGAGATAGCCACCTGTCAGTGACCTCGCTGTTTGGTCTAATCCCTTCTGGCCCAGTAGTATTGACGGTCTTTAACCAGTTATATTCATGCTCTCAATACATCTGAATGTTATTGAATTCTGAATAGATGCTCGTTTGTTGCCAAAGAAGACATATTATGCAAAATCTAACATTAAAGCAAAATTTATATCTAAACTTTAAAGTCTGTTCCATTTATGATATTTGAACCTAATTTAAGCAGTACAGGGGGGGGGGGGGCTGCTTCTAGCTTGAATTCATGTGGAGTAATCTGATAGTGGCCTAAGATTTAAAGAACCATTACTCATAAAACAAGAAGTAATTATTCACACTGATTTTCTTACCACTCTCTACCAGGCATCGGTCTAGCTCATTTATGTAACGCCATGGGTTTCAAGTGTGTGATCTATATGCCGAACAATCAGAGTCAAGAAAAGATTGATATGTTGCGGCTCCTTGGTGCCATAGTGTTTCCCGTCCCCGTTGTACCTTTCGACGATCCCGACAATTACAACCACCAGGTCAGTAGTTTAGTTTTACTTCTTTAATATAAGTCGCCCTTTTCGCCTCGAAAGCTGCTTGTGATGTTGTGCAAGTTTTTTATTCATTTCCTCCAATTGTATTGTATATAGTAGTATATTGTACAACTATCTGTGTCATATGTATGGTGTTACCTGGATGGTAGGACACATCATGAAATCTCTAAAAATAATTTGACAGGCAAAGGAGAGTTATCACATTTTAAGGTGCTTTATAATTCCGTAATTCTCTAACAAACATTGAAAAAGGGGATGGTCAAAAGTGATTGTCATGTTTGTTTTTTCACCTTTTACTCCAGAAAACCTCTGACAAGCAAATATTTGAGCACATAATTCAGGTGCCTTTTGATGCAGTGGCACACATTCGTTGACTCATTCTTCTTTTACATATAGCGTGTACTTAAATTATACCAAATTTTGTTTTGCCAGGGGCATCTATCCCATGCCCTTCCACCCCCCCCCCCCTCCCATCTGGCAATGGTAGAAAAATCACTATACCCCCTATTTTTGATTAAATACAATACATAAAACAAATACAATATAAAATATATACAAAACATAGTTACATTTGTAATAAACAAATTTTTACAGCAATTTATACATTTGAGGAAGATGAAAATTAAATTTGACTGTATTTATATTTTTAGGAATTGGAGAGGTCCACTAAAAAGCAGAGCTTAATTGTGGACCCCTCAGATAATAATGACAGAGAGACACAGTGTTTTTACACATTGCATTCTCTGTCGGGATCATTAATTTCAGATCTCTCTCTGCTCAGTAGAGCATAGGTTAAAATTCTGTTGGAGCATTGTCTGTTGGGACAATGACATTTCACACATTTCGCACATGAGCTCATAAAATTCACACTGTAACTTCTTAGTGACATTTTTCTTTCTCAATAAGGCAGTCCATAGTGTAGCTACATGTATGTAAGCAATAAAAAGTTTTGAAGTCCAAAGTTTCTGTGTGTTTACCTACATTTTAGTGTATCGTTTTAGTTCTGGATTTTTAGTTTATTCATTTTAGTTGAACAAACACTTTTTGCAGGATTGCTCGGGTGTGAGTCTTAGCATTATGTTATTAATGACTACTCGATGTCATTGTTATCTTTTGGTATTATAATTAATGGGATTTTAAAAAGAAAAAGCCTTATTTAGAGTTTACTTTCTGTTTTCAGATCTATTAGATATGTTTTACAAAATATTGCTGTTGCAAATATTTGCCTCATGAGTAAGAATAGAACAAATAGGAGCATTTTAGAAAAAAATCTCTCTCTCTCTCCCTCTCTCTCTCTTTCTTTTCTCTCTCTCTTTTTTTTTTCTCTCTCTTTTTTTTCTCTCTCTCTCTCTTTCTCTATCTCTCTCTCTCTCTCTCTCTCCCTCTTTCTCTCTCTCTCCCAGGCTCTCTCTTTGTCTCTCTCATTACCCCCTCTCTCTCTCTAATGGTTTACCAGTCTGTTTGTTTGCCCCCCCTTCCCAATCCCTCTCTGTCTATCTTTTTATTTCTCTCTTTCTCTTTCTCTCTTTCAAAGCATCTCCAATACTAGTCTTTTCTTTTTCTTCTCTTTTTAGCGTGCTTGATTGAGAAGTTTAAACTCATCTTTAAATTAATATGAAGAGTTTTGCATCTTACACCTTCAATATTTTGCCTTGTCTTTCTTTTATCTCTTGCTTTGTAAACCATGCTGAAGGAAGAAAGAGGGGGGGGGGGGGGTGCCAAATGTTTACTATTATCATAACGGTGGTAAGAGGTATGGAACAGAAAATTGCTAATTATAATTGGACTCATCTGTTTATTCATTTTAGGCAAGGAGACATGCTGAATCGTTAGATAATGCCGTTTGGACAAACCAGTTTGACAACACAGCCAACAGACAAGCTCATATAGAGACCACAGGACCAGAGATATGGCAACAGACTGGTAAGATCTTATCTTTCTTCCTCCCCCCTATCTCTCTCTCTCTCTCTCTCTCTCCCTCTCTCTCTCTCTCTCTCTCCACCAGAACAATGATTAGACAATATGCTTTGGTGAAATTTTCTCCATGTTTTAATTCACTGATGATAATAAAAATAACTGATTTAAAGAAGGTTCAATATAGACAGTTACAGAATGGTCACTAAATTGTAATTTTCTTTGACATACATTTTTGTAAATACCTACATATACCAGTATATATATATATATATATATAGAGAGAGAGAGAGAGAGAGAGAGAGAGAGAGAGAGAGAGAGAGAGAGAGGTCACTATCAATCATTGCTAGGTCTTGAATATTGATGTTTTTAAGAATTGAGCTATTCTAACAACTATTTTAGTTCTGTTTAGTAAGGTCTCCATCATATAACACACCATGAGGAATTCATAAAACTCGCCCTGAAATAACAAATACCATTTGCAACCCTTGAAGAGAAGAATAGAATGAGAATGAGATAAATTGTTTTTATACCTGAAATCATAATTCCATATACAAAATCATGCGTTAATTTATGTCCATCATATCATTTAAAAACTATCATTATATAGGGGAGGGTTTAGGAAAATTTACATTTCTCCACAATTATTTTCTCATTTGTTGATGATGTCTTGGCTTCAATTTTTTTTCTCCACAGAGGGCAAGGTGAATGCTGTCACATTTGGCACTGGAACAGGTGGCACTTTGGCAGGTTAGTCTCTCTTAAAGGCATCGTTTAACAATGTTAAATCGGAGATGCATGGCCCTACATGTTATCAGTGTCTGCGATATGGTGTTATATTGAAATGCTAAAGAAAAATGATCAAGAAGTGCCTCAAAAAAGTAAAAACCTTTGAGTGACTGGTTTCACCATACTCGTTTTCCCCATTAGACTGTTGTGTTATGAAAACCATTTGGCAAACACAAAATTTGATTTCGATTTTTAATCATAAATATCTTGATAATCAGACAGGCGATCGGCTTGTAAAAGCCATGGGGTTCCTGACTGACCTAAAGGTTAATAATTATTGCAGCATTAGCTAAATCAAGGATCTGAGACAGAGTTACCGGATCCCTTTAAGTGATCAAACTCTAAATCTTTATGGTCACTATTTTGTAGACTTTTATGCACCAAAATATATGAATACACCCTAAATTTTGAATAATATGTGGTGCTATGTCAGGGTATAACAGTGATGATAGATTAATTGATTGATTGATCGTTTTGTTGAGGGATATATGGATGGAAGAATGGATGGATGTACATGTATGTACTGGTGAATGAGTAGATGGATGGATGATTGAATGCATCAATGGACTAATTGATAGATAGATAGGTGTAAAAATAGATGAATGGCTGGATAGATAATGAATGGATGGATGGATGGATAGTTGGGTGGATGGATGGATGGATGGATGGATGGATGGAGGGAAGGATGGATGGATGGATGGATGGATGGATGGATGGATGGATGGATGGAAGGATGGATGAATGGATGGATGGATGGGTCAATCGATCGATCAATAGATAGATAGATAGACAGATAGATAGATAGATAGATAGATAGATGAATAGATGAATGAATGAATGAATGAATGGATAGATGGGTAGATGGATGGATGGCTTGACTTAACGTTACTTGACCGATTCATTTCATATCTCCCTTTCAGGAGTTGGGATGTACATGAAGGAGATGAGCAAGGATGTGAAGGTCATCCTAGCTGACCCTCAGGGCAGCGTCCTCTACAACTACTTCACCCATGGCAAGCTGGAGAGGTCACCGGGGTCATCCATCACAGAGGGCATAGGTCAAGGTCGGGTCACAGATAACCTCAAGGGCGCCCCCATTGATGAGGCCTTGTGCATTATGGACACCGATGCTGTCAGTATGGTGAGTTTGAAATTTGATTTGAATGTTGATTACCGTGGCATAGATGACAAGGAATTGAACCAATAAGAAATCTCTGGAAAATAATTACAGAGAAAGCTAAAAAGGTTTAAAGCAGGACTGCACTACTTGTAGCTACTTTCGCCCTTTACATAGCCATGGTCCCCTTTTTCTTATGTTTATTGAGAGCTGATTTGATGAAATAACCACCTGTCAGTGACCATGCTGGGGAGGTCTAATCCTTCCTGGCCAAACTAGTACAGATAGGCTTTAAAGGGCTTGTCACATGGGTTTCCCGTAGCATTAAAGTTTTTTTTTTTAACTAACTCGTATATATACACCTGTACATGTAGGCAACAAAAAATATCTGTATGCAACAATGGTTAGATACATTTACCCACTTATCTGTGTCTTATAAGATACAGAAATATAAAACGTAGTATGTCAGTATGTCCCAGCGGTTGCCAGTGCATGCAAGAATGAGGCTTAAGAATACTGTAAGAAGATTGTCATATAATTGTGTCTTTTTATTTCTATTTAGAACTTTCTTTTGCTTTTGTCAAATATTCAAGATTTGCTTGGTTACACTATAGTGTATTATATTTTTGCAATAATAACAATAATAATAATGTATGAGATTTGTAAGATTATAAGAACAATATATTGTTCTCAGTGATACAAATTTCATGCAATTCTTTGGCTTATTTCTGATGCCATTTTGTTCTTTTGTAAGAACTTTGCTTAATAAACTTCGAGAGATTGAAATGCTGCTCCCCATTGTAGGTTTTGAACTTTGACACACATATGAAAAAATGAAGAGTTTCATTGATTTTCCCCATTCTCCAACAAATTCTGCAAGCTTTTCAAACTGGGGTTGGGCATTTTCTGCACTTCACCTACTAAACTCTTAATTAAATAGTTTAATTGGGCTATACAGGCTGCAGTCATGATAAAACACCTGATTTGTAGAAATACATGCACACCAATTAAATCAAATCAAAGTGCCAATTAATTAGTTGCTGCAAATATACAAATCTTGTTCAAATCAATTAGAAATTGGGTGAAAGGTTGCATTCTGTCAATCTTTTCTTCAAATGCAAGAGCTTTTAAATCGCTGGTGTGAAATGTTTATTTATCAACACTCGACTTGAAACAAATAATACAATTGGAACAAATTGTTAATTACTCCCATTTCAATTGCAGATCCTACTATTTAACTGTTTTATGAAATAGAGGAAAGGTTATGCTCTATCTTTACAATTTCTTAATTGGAAATTTTGAGATGACGGTCAGTGTAAATACAGAAAGGTATTCACTATTATTTGGAGATCTATTTGAAACGTTTTATGAAATAGAGGAAAGGTTATATTCTCTTAATTGGAAGGTTTAGGTGACAGGCGGCATAAGTACAGAAAGGTACTTGTTGTTAATTGCTCTTAATTCAATTAAAAATCTTCCATTGTAATTGTTTTATGAAATAGAGGAAAGGTTATCTACAATTTATTGATAAGAAGTTGCAGTTTAACATCCAGCCATAATGAAGAAAATCAGTGTTGATTGTTCTTAATCAAATTGCAGATTCTCAATTTCAACTGTTTTATGAAATTAATGGAGAGACAATTATACTCTGCCTTTACAATTTCTAAATTAGAAGTTTTAGGCGACAGACAGCTTTGAACACTGAAATGTATTTTAATACCTGTTAAGTGCTCTTAAGTGAATCAGAGATCTATTTTAATTGTTGTATGACGTAGGGAAAGGTTATATTTATCTTTACATTTTCTTAATAAGAAGTATTTCCTCAGTATTTTGTGAATTTCTCCTTTTGTCTATTTGTACTGGCAGCAAAGGCTGAAAAGAACATTATACAAGAAGAGAAATTGAACATATGAATTGTTAAAAGTATTTTTGTTTAAAGAAAATTATATCAAAATGTAATGCATCCAAATGCAAATTATGGGTACCCTAGACAGGCTAGCACAGTTGTCTACATCCATACATGTGTTTGTAGGGTTTGAAGAAGAAGAAAATAGAGGGCATTTTCTGTATCAAACTTGATTGAAAACAATCCTCTCAGTATCAAATATGTCTTTTGTACATTAGAATCTGACTCCCAGGAAGAAATATCTGGCCTGTATCAGGTCTTATGACTTTAAAAAGGCACTCAGATTTCGGTTGAGTAGGCATTTCAACAATTTCACTTTGAATATCATTACCAGTATTATCTATATATTTGAACTTTGGTAAGCTTTTATTAAATGACTTTACAACTCCAATGATTGCAAAATGATTAGCCTTAACTAAACAGATTAAATGCCAATTTTAAATATTTGTTTCCCATTTTGGATGGAATATTGTTTTATTGCAGGTTATGTCTCCAAGATTTGGTATGTTCTAGGGCAGTCGTCTTGACTAATTGCAATATAATGATAGGTATAACAAATACCGAGCTGGATGTGCAAATATAAAAATCTGTTTGTTCATAAATATTTGATTATCTCTTGTTTGATGCTTTCATAGTGTGTGGTTGGTCGGGCGTATCGATGTGGAGCCATTATCAATTGTTTCTTTGTTTCTGTGCCCATTATATGTCTTTCTTTGTAGACGTTCCGTCTCCTAAAAGATGAAGGGTTCTTTGTTGGGGCGTCATCTGGTCTAAATGTAGTAGCCGCAGTGCAGGTAAGCTGACCTACTCCCCCCACCCCAGTGATATTAACAAATCTTCACATAGTACCCCCAGTTAGCTTTGATCAATAATAATAATAATAATAATAATAATAATAATAATAATAATATGTCTTGTTTACCCAGGGTAGCCTCATCAGTATTCATACTGTTCTCCCTGAGGGCCCTGCAATTATATTATTACCCCGGTCATCGGATTCAGGCTTACCCGCACACAATGTATGCACATTCTCCACTCCCTGGGGAGCATTCCAGCCAGTGCATCATTTTTATGAGCGCACACTTGCTAATCTAAGCACGTTAGCTTTCGCATCCTACCAATGCAGTATAATTAGTGATTATTGTTTATTCTCCCCAATTCCTACACATGTTATGAAAATAACATGGACAACAAAGAAGAAATTATGTACACAAATCGATGGATGCTGAAATTTTGGTTGTTTTACTTATATTGAAGAGAGTTTATCAGATATATTAGACTTCTCTACTTTATTCCTTTTCATTTCTTTGTTATCCTATCCCAATGCTTAACGAATTTAGAGGTTACTTTTTGTAAGTGTAGTTTTGTAGTTTTTTTCTTCAACTGTACTGTAGTCCATCAGATTAGAAAGAAAAAAAAATGTGCTTTAATACTCTACAAGGCTGAAGCAGAAATCATCAAAGTTTGCATTTTCTGTGAACAGCTTTTTAGCCATACTGGAACAGTAGCAAGGCTGCATGAGAAGGATTCGGCAAATATTGCCAACGATGTTGTTCATTTGTTACCATGACAATACCAGTATGTTAAGATGCTTCAAGAGCGGTAAACATGACTAACAATTGGTGATAATTGATAAGTAATTACCAGGAGATAGTAGTCATGGCATAGAAGCAGTTTGTTTAACTGACCGTTCATGCTCTATGAAAAATACTAAGAATAGGTACCGGTAATGAAAAGGGGAAAAAGGTAAGACAGGAAAATCAAAAGAAGCAGATTATACGGTAATGAATTCTAAATTACATTTCAGTACATGTAAATTTGACTTTCATATGTTTTAAGACATAGTTCTTAATTCACTAATAGATTCAGCCATTTGCTTATTAATTTCTTCAATGCTCTTTCTCATTTATTTCTGTTGAAGGTGACTTTCTAAACTTTTTTTTTCACTGTTTAATTCTTCTGAATAAAATGAAAGATTTTTAAACACCAAGAAAGAATTTGAAGTATTTCAAATATTGTGGGAGGATGTCAAAATGATTCTGAGCAAATGATGGCCTCTTTCCAACTAGCGACCCTTGACCGAGATTACACAGCGTGATGTGATGATCGTAAATGTCAAAAATCAACAAGAACCGGGCTTAATTTACCTTCGAATGGCACATAATTACTTGATGATGAGCTTGTTGTATTTTGATTGCCTTATAAAGTAGCACTTTATATTCCAACAATTTGTTTAAGGGGATGTGTTGACGATAAACTGTTAAACAAATAACTTATTTGGTAACAGGCTTCTTTGGTACGTGGTAGCAAAACAATTTATGGCCTATAGTCACTGTGAGGTAATCACTTCTGTCTTAATTATACTTTTGATTTCAATCTGTGCAGGTGTTGCCAGTTAGAAAACAAACAAATTAGCCCCCTGCTATCTCTCTAGTATTATTTGTTTTCATTCTGGGGTTTTTAAACAAAGGAGGGAGAGATTGTGCGCTGGCTCTACCTCTTGCTTGATATTCCATTTGAGTCAATGAAATCTTAAGCAATATTGATACAACATTTATATATACTGCTTAATAAACACTATAAGACAGACTCTATGCCAGTCCTCTTGTACTGCCGTTGTTTTGCCGGAACTCAAGTCTAACTGTAAGCATAGCAGAAAGGAATATGCAAAGTTGAAATATAAAAGTATTTTTCAACAGTGAGTGTAAACGATAACTGTTTCATGAATCTCTTTTTTTAATTTATTGTATTGGTATAACTCATCATGAAACCTACAGGATACATCTTTAATATATAATCATGTGAAAACCTTGAATTTCTTTTTTTTTTTTTTAATTACTGGTATATTTTAAGTTACCTATTAAAAGTACTTGTAGCACTTGCCAATATATTACATTGTGAAGAGGGGAGGCATTCCTTTTTTTATAAACCCCCTTTATGGTAATCTTTAAGTAACACAAGAGGGCAGCATTGCACATCGCATGCATGTTTATCTCAGAATGTCAATGGCATTGTTGATCAAGGTAGTAAGTTGATAACTTGATATTATTACTAACAAAATAATAACAATAAGATCCTAGTCTTTCAATATTTCTTATGTATTTTTGCTTCTTTTTTTTTTAAAGGATAAAATGAATAATTAATGTTATTACTTGTTTAATTATTATTATTAATATTGTTTTTATTATTATTATCATTATTATTATCATTATTATGTAACTATATTGCAAATGTACCTATATTTGTGAATGGTAATGAATTTCAGCATAAGAGTATTCATTATTTGCATCACTGTGCCAAAACCTTTTGTATCCATTACTTCTTTGACCTCATAAGTGTTTCTTTACTTTGTGTTTAGGTTGCTAAGCAACTCGGACCTGGACATGTAGTAGCTTCCTGCCTGTGTGACACAGGTCAACGATATTATGCAAGGCTCTTCAACAGAACTTGGCTCAAAGAAAAGGGTGAGTTTTACAGACAATTATCCTTATAGAACTACCAGGTTTACAAACAATCCTACAAATTAAAAGAGACAATTTTTAAAGTTTGTTGCTTCTTGTCATTGTTTATCTTGATGCGACCCACTTTCTATGACCTCTAGCCTCATTATTCATTAATTTGTTTGAATTTCAGGAAGTTGTTATTTTGATTTGTCCAAAAATATGAGAAACAGTAATTAATTCTGTGCAATTTTTACCACCTATAATACCCCAAGAGTGAAATCATCATTGAAATCAGTACCAATATATCTAATTATTTTGTCTGTTTTTGGATAGCGTATTAAAAGTTGTTTCTCACTGTTTGTTTGTTTGTTTTAATGTTTTAGGTCTATTTGATAGCGTACCAGAAGAGTGCCATGGCTTCCTGCATTCATGATGACAACACAGCATTGTCTCAAGACACAAGTGTGCTTTGTGACCAGACATATGCTCTGGGGGACAATTATGTTCCGGTCCAAAAGAGAATATCAATCAATAGTCATTCATCAGGAATTTGCTGAAATAAATTCAATCCTATTATAGATTTTTAATGAAATGAGAAATAAATACACATCTTTTTAAAGTAACATTGTAATCAGATAGATTATTTTTGTTATATATTTAGATGGATACTAACACATTGGTGTTATGGTAATTGGTTTAATATATTTTGTTAATAATAATAATAATAATATACAAATATCTACTTAGTAAAACAGTGAGGTAACCACAAGTAAATAATGTAGGCAATTTGTAAAGAATATTTCAGTTTACAATATATATGATATGCAAAAGGAGAAATTATAAAAAGCCAGTGATGGCTTTGACGGTAGAACAAAGTTTCCATTGAAATATGTAAGTCATATTGTTACTGATAACATCTCATTTAACTCTGTTATGCTTTGTTTTTCATAAATGATATGCATAATACAACGTTGTACATTGCAATAGATACCGGTACTTGTAATTGATTTTGATATTTTGGGAAAAAGAATTTAATTATTAGTTTAATGTTTATTAAAAAGGTTTGATTATTTAATCCCGTATTCATATTTCATTTGATTTGTCTTCCAAAACCAGTGAATGTGTTTTATATTTTACCCAGCTTTCAAATTTTAGTATTATTTATGATGTGGGAAATAAGTTCTGTTTTCATAAATGCAACAGGATAAGAATTGAAGAAAAGCCATATAAAGGAATTATATAAAACCTTGTTATGTTTGTATTGTAGATTTTGTGTTGTTTCTATTTTGTAAATGATGCAACTCAGGAATTGTAAACTATCTTTCCTGTTTACTTAGTTTCATGTTTGTTATTGTATTCAAATTTTCATTTAGATAGACTAGGAAGATTCTGTTAGAAATGTTATGTAATAGACTTTCAAATTTACCCTATTCCTTTTTTGATATTCACATGGCCTTCATTTTGGCATCACTGATACACTGCCTTTAAAAATTCTAACTGATACAGAACTCTTACTAGCAGAATTATCTGTATATTTCCCTTTAATTTCTATACTGGGATACAGCAGACAACATATATACCATAAGGTGTGATGTAATGATTTTTGGATGGCCAAACTTTGTAGCAGGTTAATTTGGCAAACTTTGTTTCTGTTGGATACAACATGGAGCATATTCTGCTGTGGTATGCTTGCCCAACATAGCAACATGTGAAACCTTTTTTTACCAAAAATGCATTGTTTTCAGACTCTAAAGCAAATACTAGCATACAAAAGAATTGAAATTGAGTTGGCTAAACTTATGGAGATGACTATGAGCAGATTTTTTTTTTGTGTGTGTTTTGTTTCATATACACATACAACTACATATCTTATTTTTTTGTAATGGGTTTGTAATTGATAGGCCTATGGTCTTTGCAAATCCCTCCATATTTGAATTTTCTTGTGTTTTATACTTATTTTCTCTTTTAATGTATATGTTATTGTGATTGTTCTTTTATTCTAATGTGAAAATAAAATGAATTTGAAAATTGAATTGAATCAATAATACTCTAGCCCCATCTCTTGTTGAGCATCTATATAGTTGATACTAAATTCTGTGGTGTCATCTGAATACTGTTAGGATGTGCAACAATGTGACAAATAGTTAATCATCTGCTTGCAATTGCAATAGATTCTTATAATAAAATTTGGGAAGATGAAAATAGGCTGTAAAATCAGATATTTGTTTATACAGGTATATCTAATTGTCTTGAGTTGAAATAATAATACATCTCTACTTTCATTTTTTTTTCAAACATACATAGTCAAAGATACAAAATAAAGATTTCTTGCAAATAAAGTCAAGAAAATAACATGGATAAGTACGAAAGCAAGTTACAAAATGGTTGGATCATCATATGTTTTATATCCAATATATCTCTTTTTTGTTGATGTTGCTATTCCATCATTGATTAGCAATTGAGGTAATGTGCGACAGTGTCATTGTTTAGATTACATATCTGTTTTGTTTTTTCTTCATGAAAATCTTTGCCACAGATCTGTTGCCTTGTGCCGCCAACTCTATAAAATATACATGTATGGTCATATATAAGTCATATTGGCCCGTGACACATGTACAGTACATGATGTTTTGATTTACATTGATTTTGTGATTAAGATTTCTATATGACTATTCTGAAATACATTTCAAATATATACTTATTGTTTTGATAACGAATAAACAATAGATCTCCTATTTTCAAACTTAATTACTGTGACCGCATTTTATTTTGTATGCCTTTATGTTCATAAATGAATCAAGCAGATAATGGTATTTGTCGAGGTGTGAGAAAAATTTGATGGCAATGCCTGAACCTAATTATATTCTGCATGTTAGTGTAATACCCGATGACGTCATTGAATCGATTTCGGGGAATCCCCCACACAATAGAATACAATGTGCGTAACCCGAGTTGCATCCGACACCTACAGACATTGCACAATAACTGTCCACAAACATAACATAATTATGTTGATTTCTCTCTCTCTCTCTCTCTCTCTCTCTCTCTCTCTCTCTCTCTCTCTCTCTCTCATACTTTCTTGTCCCTTTCATTTCACTGCATCCTCTTTCCTTCTGAACAGAATAACAGTGTTGAGTTATATATTGCGTTGAGATGTTTTTAGCTAATGCTTCATTTGCATGCATGCCGTATTTTATACTCTACAATTTTTGAATGGTATTCTTATTTCTTTCTCTTCACTCCACTGCATATTTTACTGCCATATAAACATAAAATTGGTTTTGCCTATGTATCTATATGCAACTTTATAATGGAACAGTGTTCCGTTCGATAAATACGAATACCGTATGGATAATTTAGCCTCAAATAGACCATCATATTATTGAAACTGCTACAACACGACGATGTTTTCAAGCGATGAATATTGAAGCCCCATAATAAACGAAAATTGCGAAATACTTTATTTCATTAGTCTATATGTGAACGTATTTTGATAGTAACAATGAGATTATTGCGTAATGCAGAAAATGTTATGATGTGGACAATTTTAATGTTTCGCAACTGACCGTGATTCGATCACTGTGCACGAAATAGATTGCAATGTAGAAACACCGTGTGACAAAGCTGACGTGGGATTCCCCATCCAGAACATACGAAATATTGATATTCGCTCCCCGAACGACTTTACTAACGTTTAGATGTTTTGCCTCAGTTTTAGAGCAGTGTCATATGACAATTCAGCCAGGATAAATATTAAGTGACTGAACACAATTTGCAAGTGAAAATATTGTGGCAAGCCGACCATTGCAGATTTGCAGATGACTGGAAACTACACTCTTACTGCCTTTTTTGACACTGATCAACGTCATACTTTTGTTGAGTCTAGTCGAGGCACCGTTTGTATTGGTTTTACAGCTAATTCATCAACACAAACAAAGATAAGTGGTGCTGAAATCTTCTCAATTCATACGAGCGGCTCTGAACTCAGCTTTTGAGCGAATAAAACTGACATCTGAAAATATTTTGAAGCTTGGATCCTATTCGCTACTATAACTTCGGGCATAATCTTGATTTGGAAAATTTGGCGGGAGACCAGGGGGAAAATGGCATTTTATGAAGCAACGAGTGTGGAGGAATATTTCAAGCTGCTCTATTTGACTTTCAATGATGAGTTCATGATGCGATCGCCTGGTCGCAAACAGTTTGCCGCCTTTTCCCTGGACATGGCTGGACTGTACAGCGAAAGACCGATCCTCCGAGGTCCCCCGTTCGGTGGCGGAGGATTCCTCAGTTGGGACTTCGCTGTCGCAACCAGCAACCGAGAGCCTAATGGTACCATCCAGCACGCCGAGCAACGGGTTCTGTGCCACTTGATATCCAATCTCGAAGACCTCGTACACCTTAACGACCACGCCCAACATTCGCTGTACCTCTTCACCTACTTCTCCCCTTGCGAGGATTGCCTCGTCTTCATAGATCAGCTCCTAGATGGGTTGCGGACAAAATTGCCGAAGATGAAGGTTTATCTTGGATACGTCGAGATGTACGTTGAGAGAGAGGACCGGAAATTGGCGAGCTCTGCCGATCAGTCGATGAAAAATGTCGAAGCCGTCTATGCACTGGAACGACTGTTTCCGAATTTTCACGTGATGGAGATCCCGAACGTGGTGAATCGGAACGGGTCTTTCTCGAAGCTCCACATTGAGTCCTGAAAGGTCAAGATGGTGAATTTATAATTTTGTACAATCCTTACAGGTTGCCATAAACATTGTTTGTTACTATAGCTATATACTACCATTCAAAATGCCTGTGTACCGCAGTGGACACAGCTCTATATTTCACCTAGAGATAACCTTGTCATCCTCCTCCTCCTCCTCCTCCTCCTTCTGTTTGGGTACAACAGTCTTCAACAGATAACATCTGACAACACTTATCTGGTAATGGAGGATAATTATGATAAAAATCTACCATGCCTCAGAGTCAGATGCAAAACGGAAATTCTTGACTGCATGGTTCATTAGTGGGCGTGGTAGAAGTGGGCGTTGCAGAAATGGGCGTGGCACCTTTTTTTTTTTTAAATTAAAGGCTGCATTGCGATATTACCTTGATATCATTGAACCATCTTTTTCAGTCTGTCTGTCTTTAAAAAAAAAAGTTTATGAACATGAATCTGGCTAATTCTATAATGGAATAGATTTAATGGTTAGTCTTAATTACGAATCGCTATAGAGTTTATGTTTAGTAAAGCATATACGTGGCATATAACTTAAACAACTTTGTTAACGTTTTTCTGACAATGTGAATTGTATATATTTGTATATTAATATTTTCTCTGAAAAGTAAGTTTCACGCAGGGCTGTAAATAGGCGTACAGGCATGTAATAACATTTCGATATCATAACACGCCATGTATATCCATTTCAAGTAGTGGAAAAGGATTCTATTTTTATAATAAATACGAAATAATGTTGGATTCTGTTTCTCTTGTTAAAGTGACTTTCAAGAGATATATAATGCTGACATGGTAGGAAGTATATTCTTCGTGACATACACGTGCAATAGTTATTGTAACAATTAATTTCCGTAGGATTTTGACTCATGAATACTTGTATCGTAACATTTCCTTATGCATATATATAGTATGCCCCACCCCTTAAATGGAAACAAGGGAGTGAAGAGTGATGAAGGTAGAGAGAGAGAAGAGAGAGAGAAGAGTCCCCCTCCCCCCTGACAGACAGCATGACTGGATAGTGAATACCACAGCAAATACAGTATATCCTTGACTCATTACTTATCTGCATTAAAATCCCTTACTCTCTCTCTCTCTCTCTCTCTCTCTCTCACTCTCAAGTCATTTATTTCATTTTATTTATTAATTCAATTAATTCGATGAAGTCCACGGCAATATGCCGCCATCTCACTTTTGTTTTCATTATGTGTATTATATTTGTGTTGTATCGTTTATATACTGAATTTGTATATAATTATGTCCTTGCAGATTTCTTTAAAACTTGCTATGCATATATTTATCACTAATGTGCTTATTTTGTACATATTTACTGTTTTATACCAATAATTTGACTCACAATCTTAATCGTAATGAATATTCGGAACTAAGGTCAAGTGATAATGATAATTGAATTCCCACCTTTCTCAAACTACTGTTTGTACCTTAAACAAATATCTTTCAACAGATAATCGTCATTTAAGACTTTTGAAGAACAAACTAAGGAAATTTCAATAGACGTGCCTATCACCTGTTGTAATATGCAAACATTACAATAAGGTATTACATAATCCGAAAGTCATCTATCCTGGGATATGCGACAGCTAGTGTATTAAAATTGTCCTTGGGTTAAAATTGCTATCGTATTCAATTTTTTGATTGTATTTTGTTCGCAGTCTAGCCTGAATGTAAGTTGTTTGTATCAGAAAATTAATAAAAACATATTATTGATATCTACCAAAACATGTGTTCAAAATGCCAAACTCTGTGCGCCTATAAGGCTATAAATACAAACTTCCCGCAAACTTCATGTGATTTATAATTTTTAAATGAAGAACTGATCTGAGTGGCAAATAAAGTTCAGAGTGAAAGCAAATGATAAAAGTTGTGAGGAGGTAGTGTGGAGTTGAGAGAGTAAGAAGAAAAGAATAAGATCAAGAAAGCTCCTCATTATATTGGAAATTTATGTGTCAACTTCTCCGTGTTGTTTTGTTCGTTATTATATTATATTATATTCCGGATTCTATTCCTTCTATTCCTTCTTTTACTGTTATGCTTTTTCAACATTCACTCTGACTTTCGAATGTTTCATTCTTTTAGTAGAATTAATAACTTTATATTCATATTCCCATCTACCTTTGCTGTAATTTCCTTTAGGATAATTTTTCTAATAATTATTTCTCATCTTACTTTTGTTCCTCTTGTTATTCTTCTTCGTGTTCGTCTTTTTTTAGATTCTATATCTTTCTCTTCCTGTGAGAGCGATAATCCTCTTCCTCATTTTTTTTCCATTTCTATTTGGCTGGCTGAGATACCATAGAAAAGTCTACTGTTTTCGAAATTTTGGTTTCAGTGCAAAAAGTGGTGAAAATAAACGTAGATATCTACCTTCAATATCTACCGCCAATATTTGGTAAGTCATTTAACAGTTTTCATGGTTTCAAGGTTTCTTATCATCTGTTTCGTTTTCTAAATTTCATAAACTTGAAGGCTACATCGTGGATTTGGAAACCACTCGTTCTTGTGCGTAATCGATTCGACAACGAGACGGCAATGGCAATGCAATGCAATGCGTATATTGCTTGCATGTGACCCAAAGAAGCGCTAGGCTACTGACACTGCACACGGGGCGAATGGTGGTTTCCTATATTTCACCACAATGCTAACTTCAATGTATTATAACCATCTGGTATGGGGAATTCTTTAATGAAACTGACATTTGTCAACCTTTCCCATGCACAGTGTAGACCTACAGTCACAGACAGTGCAGTGCAGTGTAACATTACCACCAGTGCAGTGCGTGGTGTATTGTAAATTAATCATGTGATTGTTTTGCGTGTTCACGTCCGGCAACTAAAAATGAATCCGGGCTAACTCGCCCCACGGCACGGGACCTCTCGCCCCAGCCTCAAAGACTGGGGCGAGATGTCCAGACAAGATTCACCGATCGAGAGATACCAATGTATATGTTTGTGCTCATTGTGACTTAATAATGCCATTTCAAACCACAATCTGTAATGGAATTGTGTTAAATGAAACTATTGAAGACAATCTATAACTTCTCTTTAGGTAAAATGACCAAAAAATGGCATTTCGGACAATTTACTCACAGCTCGCAATTCGATTGCCACACGTACATTAAATGTGCGTTGTATCGACTCGGATCACTGAAATTCGAGCAATGTTTTTGTCAGTAAATCACTGCAAAAATATCATTTTCATAATGTATGAAGGTCTATTTTTGATTCCTGGTATAAATTTTGTTATTAAGAAGTCGAATGTACTACATTTTAGACGAGATGGCTGATGTTTGTTCACATTCTTTCGTCCTGGCCGTAAATAAGCAGACACCTGCTAGTGCTACCGTCGGGACATCTCGCCCCAGTCTTTGAGGCTGGGGCGAGATGTCCCGTGGGGCGAGTTAGCCCGACTCCCTAAAAATGAATATCAGAATAAGAATGACATGAATGAGAAATTAGATTGAGAATATTGCACAAAAATAAATTGGCCAATGATAAATGAGATGGACATGAATGAATGTATAGTGAATCAATAAAGCTTTTGACCGAGTAGAAATGATGTCGAAAGTCCAATTGAAATAATGACGGGTAATAACGAGTATCTAAAGGGGCTCACGCGATGATGAAACGGAGACTTGATGGTGGAAATGCAACCTTGTGGTGTTGAAATACACTATTGCAAAACCTCCCTCACTAATACTTCAGTGAGTTCATCTCTGTTTGGAGGCGATCAGTGGAGCCAGATGCAGTCTCGGCAGAACAACCGTCGTGTCAGAGACTGAATATTTTGGTCTAGCTCAGCCGGCAGCCTCTGTCTAGCAAAGCGTCTCTTTACATAGAACTACTAAATGTCAAATTTTATCCTAAGACAATTTATGATTTTTTAACACCAATTTTAACACCAATTATTGATTTAATTCTTTTTGAAATTAGTGAGAAATCAATACCGGTATTTAATCTTAATAACTTATTCTTTACTCCTTTTTTTCTTCAATTTCAGGTGTTATGCATTCCTTGTTGAGGTGCTGTAATTACTCAAAACAAAGGAGGAGGAAATCACTAAGGTTGCTGCAAGAAATATATGTGTAAACCTATGTACACAAAACTGACAAACTACACATACATGAGTGCCTGTACAGCACTAGACACTTCATATTGCGTACTTTGACAGTGAAATGTAACTTTAGAGATTTTGTAATGGCTGAGAAGCATGTGAAAGTGGATCCGCCGAGTGCTGAAAAGGAAACTGATTCCTGCAGAACATGCGGGTCGATCGACAACCTCAAGCAGTGTGCCAAGTGCTTGTCGGTTGCTTACTGCTGCAAAGATCACCAGGTACAAGACTGGGAAAAACATATCAAGAATTGCAAGAAACTTAGAAAAGTGAAACAGAACGATGATAGCAACCCCATCAGTAACTCCACCCCCCTAAAAGTAAAAGAGACGGACAGCCAAGATGGCAACCCTGACCAAAGTGCCACCATTAACCTTTCGTTTGAATTCGACAAGCGCCCCCACAAGCCTAGGACGCATCCCCAACCGGCCGGCAGGGACCTGGTGTCCCTCGCCCAGCATGTGACCAGCCAGTTGAAAAGCAAAAATATCTGTGTCGTGGACAGTATCTTCAACCCCACCCTTGCCAATGAGGTTTTGAAGGAGGTCATCGACCTGCATTCTTCGGGCGTCTTTATCGATGGGCAGCTGAGCGGTGGGAGGCGTAACAGCAGCGACACAATCGTCACAAAGAAGACTATTCGTGGAGATGAAATCACGTGGTTGGAGGGAAACGAGAAGCAGTTCCCGTACATCTGCATGTTGGTGAAGACCTTGGATAGATTACTCTCCAAAATGAACATCTATTTGAAAGGGGAATGTGATGTTGGAGGAAGAACAAAGGTAAATATAATAAATAAGTACAACATTTTCTTTTCAAAAGTTGAACTTATCCAATTTGTGAATTTGTTCACAATTTATATGTGCTTGTAGATGCTGTAGGTAAGTTTTATTTGCAACATTCTTGGTGGGACATAAGTCACTTAAACTTTTTAGTCCTGTAGGAGTTTAATAGAACTCAGATTTTGATACTGCATCTTATATATTCTGGACAAAAAGATAATGATTGCATACCTTCCAGGAAATTCAAAAAGGGTAATGATGTGAATATAGATTGTTTATATGGTATGAAGATGAACTATGAAAAGCTGACAATGTGATTTTTTTTAATTGATTCACATATTTACTATTTTACTTGTGTTGGGTCTTTAGACCTGTTTGTAAACTCTTGGCACGTTGAGAATTTTGACATTGGAGTAACTTTATGATTTTAATGATATTGATGTACAAAGGAAATAAAAGAAAGCCAATTTTCAGCCTACTTCAAGTAAATATCAAAGGTTGATCCTCCTGTATTTTTCCTTTGTATCCTAGGCCATGGTTGCTTGCTATCCGGGCAATGGAACAGGTTACGCTTGCCATGTTGACAACCCTAACAGAGATGGTTTGTCAATAAAAGAAAGCCAATTTTCAGCCTACTTCAAGTAAATATCAAAGGTTGATCCTCCTGTATTTTTCCTTTGTATCCTAGGCCATGGTTGCTTGCTATCCGGGCAATGGAACAGGTTACGCTTGCCATGTTGACAACCCTAACAGAGATGGACGCTGTATCACCTGTCTGTTCTATCTCAACGAGGGCTGGGATGTCAAGGTAAGCAATGGAAGCAGTGGCATAGCTACAGGGGCTCATGGGGGCTATGTGCCCCCACCCCCATATCGAATGGCAAATCGAGGGAGAAAATATTTGATGGGGGTAGAAAAAGGGAGAAAGAATGATAACAAAAGGACAGGGGAAAGGCATCATGAAAACCCCTTCCTTACCTTCCCCTCGCTTGATGGTTTTGTCTTAGTTCACTTCATTCTCCTGGGGAGTATTTCACAAAGACTGAGATCGACTTTAAGTTGGACTTAACATTAGCAGGCCGTTCATGACAATGTTTGCTTTCACCATTATGATCTTTAGATAATGTTTTTTTTTCTCCCAAATTCTGTAGATTTGTGACAATGATTTGTACGTCCCTTGAGAAACCAATGCCAGTAAATGGTGAGAGCAAACAGTGGCATGAACGGCCTGCCTTAGTTAAGTCCAACTTAAAGTCAACCTTAGTCTTTGTGAAACACTCCCCAGGTAAGTTTGGTGCCCCACTCGACTGACAGGACTGCCTCGGCACTGTCTGGCTGGATCCTTGCTGCACATCGGGTAGCTTGTGCTTCTCTCATTCAAGGGAAGACCCAAGGCTCATGTCAACTTGTTCATTTCACTTTATTAGGAATTAACCCCCAAAAAAGAAAGATACCAAGTCATAAGAAAGTATTCTCGTACATCAATGAGCATAACCTGCATATATCTTTAAGTAAATAAATAGAAAGAGCTGATTTTACTCACTTATGAATATTACTTAATTCTATTATATTTTACTTTATTTGAAAGAAATGTATGGGTGGTCAATAAGTAAGGAAATAAGATGTACATGTACATCGAATAATGGAAACAAAACAGTGTTTATTTCTTTAACCAGTTATTTTCATATTTATTGAAACTGCATTGTCGTATTACACAGGAGAGTGGTGGATTGCTGAGACTCTTCCAAGGTAACGATGATTACGTGGACGTAGAACCCATCTTGAACAGAGCCATCTTCTTCTGGTCAGACAGGAGGAATCCGCATGAGGTTCAGCCTGCCTTCAAGACCAGGTCTGTTGTCAGATTATCTATGCATGTGGTTTTAATTGTATTACTGTGCTTGACCAAGTCTGCAGACTTATGGAGCACACAGTCATGAATTAAAATTGAGAAATTCACATTATATTGACTTGCATTCTTTTTATTAAAGCAGGAGTGCACTACATGTAGCTACTTGCGCCCTCTATATAGCCAACAATGCCTAAGCAGTACCCATTGATCCCCATGGTCCCCTTTTTCAGTTTTACTTAGTTAATTGAGAGCTGATTTGATGAGATAACCACCTGCCAGTGACCACACAGGGAGGTCTTATCCCTCCTGGCTAAACCAGTGCAGATAGGCTTTTTTTGCAGAATTGTAGTTGACACTAAGGTCTGTATTTTACTAAAAATTTAAATCCTAAACTGGGTTTGAGCTTGGTCTTAAATGGGGTATAACAAAGGATGTAAGACCAAGGAATAAGTTTTTCCCCTTGTTTTAATAGCTTGACTTAAGTCCTTGGATCGGGTTCCTAATTCTTAAAGTTTAGGCCTAAATTTTGATTAAAGCAGTTGAGTAACTTGGCCCACTTTATTGGTTTAGACAAGGATTAAAGTTAGATTGCCTTATTGAAAACTGGTACCGGTAGTTATACATGTATCTTAATTTGTTGTTATAAAAGGGGTTTAGATATAAGGTAACCAAAGGTTATCCTGAAAGCTTAGGCCGAAAATAAAATAAAAGAATTTGAATATCACGTGCCTTATTTTTAAATTATATTCTTATGCAATGTTTATTGTCAAACATATTGATTGCATTAAAATAATCACTACGTCTTTATTAGTCCATACCATGTCAAAACAGAGCAAATTTCAATTTATTTATGTATAAAAGAGGACCACTGAATTAAATTTCTGTATTAATCTTTTATCAACAGGTATGCCATCACAGTTTGGTATCTGGACAAACATGAGCGATTAGAGGCTAGAATGGCAGCCACCTCGGAAGCCAGTGAAGGTCAGAAAGAATATCTCTTTGCAATAGGTCATTTTTGTAATGTAATCAAAATTTAATGCACAAATCTTTCTACAATAATAATTATATTTCAACAGTCAGAATGCGAATTGCATACATTCAGTGTTGTTTGGTAGGACATGCAATAATGTTTGTCCTACCTATGCAATTTGCATTCTGATTGTTGAAATACAATTATTTTTAAAAGGTGAATGACGTTATTTGTAACCTGTCACTTACCAAAGATTTATGCATTAAATCTGATTATATTTCGAAAATGGTGTATTAAAACTGCTAGAAACCACAGCTTGATTTTCTTCAAAAATGATATAAATGGAGGTTGAAAGGGAGGGGGGATACTACTTATGAATACTGTTGGGCTCTTCCCATTGAACAGAGCCTTATCCTTGGGAATTTTCAATTTTTGTTCTTAGGCCCCATATTTCCGATGGTACACTGTATTTCTAGACAATTCAACTACCCTTAAAGGTTCACTCCCTATTTATTCCCAAGGGCCCAGTAGATCTCGACACTTCTTTGAAGTTTTACCTTGTTCTTGTAACAGATGTATCATTTTATTTCTTTAACCAGGATTTCACCATTCCTTGCTTGTACCTAGCTTGTTAAACTTAGCAATATTAGGAGATCATTTTATTTCTTCAACCCAAACTCCACAATACTTAAGTTGTTTGTACCTTGGCTCTTTTGTAACAGATGTAAGTAAACTTCAGCAGCAGTATTCCATGATGAACCTGAACAACAAGGAAGGTGAGAAGGAAGAGACCGATGGACCAAAGAGAGAGGATACCGCTTCGTGAATATTTGATCAGGTATGCCTAATCTTGCTCTAAATCTTTAGTTGTGTCCAACGTTGAGAGCCAGGCAGGTGTTAGTATACAAATAATACACAGCAGTGAGGGCATTAGTAAGAATTACCAACACGAGGTACCTTTGGAACAGTCTAACACGCCCGATGCGATAGCCGAGGGTGTTTGGACTGTTTTGAAGGTACCGAGTGTGGGTAATTCTCACTAATGCCCAAACATTATATTACATTGTATTATTTGTAAGATTTTATGAGATTGTGTTTTATTTGTTTGATAAAATGATATTGATAATGACCGGTCATTATCCAAATTACGCGGTAGACAAAATAAATGCCTGGTCACGTGTACGCTTACAAACAATCATTTGATTAGGATCCACGTCATCATCTTATACATTAACACTGTGAAATGCCCTCCTGGCTCAGGGCAGACAATATGCTTCCACTTTCTAAAGTAGTTCAGAGGGAATTTTGCGTTGGGCGTGTGGTCATTTCTACATTGTATGATTGCAATGATTAATGAGTGCTTGTAGGTCACTTTCGAACACACAGAGTGAGCATATGCCCCCTCCCAACCCCCACTCCCCCACCAGATGGCCTAGATTCATTTACTAAAACTTGCAACTTCATGTAAAACAGTTAACTGCATATATGTCAAATCTGTTGGAACAGCACAAAAAAATAGTAGTTTGACTTATGCAAATTTTGATTTAGGAAGTGGGTTTGCATATTTTGGTCCAAAAATTAGATTTTACTTGTGTGACTTTGAGTTATGCAGATTTAACTCTGTAACTTATAAAGTCTTTGGGACATGGATGGGTATAGAATCACCCTCCTCAACCCCCCCCCCCCTTTCCCTCTGATTACCAAATTCTTGATACGTCACTGTATTCTTTTACAAATGACCTTTCAGTTGACCTTTACATGTTTGTTTTTCATTTTTGTCATCAGAGAACAAGATTCTTGCCGAAGGATATTAGGACTCGATGAAGGCAAACCCTTGATCTCCCACCTGTTCATACAATGCTATCCCAGCTACCAGTCTTTAATTTCATTTCCAAGTTAAGACCAAAATTATGCAGTTTTTTATGTCTTCATTTCTATCTCATGATAATGTTCTTGTTGATGTTAACATTCTGTATGATATAAAGGCTTCTGAAATATATATTTTTTTTAAATAGAATTGTTGTATATTCCTCTGAAATGTGAGGATAGCTTTTGAAGTAAGGCCATCTTACAGTGGTAAAGTTGCCTTTTGGAAGAAGAAAAAAAAAAGAAAAAGACAAATAGAGCTTTATCGCAAATTTCCATCACCATTGTTGTTATCATAAGAAATAATGCATGGGGCCGTTTTTTTTTAGCATTACCCTTTTTTTTTAGCATTACATTAAACAACTCTGTTCTGACAACTCTCTGTGTGACTATCAAGTTAGTTTTAAAGCAAATCATAGTGTAAAAATACTCCACAAGCTAAGGTTTATTTGTCTAAATAATCATTTCTAGATCTCCTTGCTTTCATTTAGCAATGCATGAGTGTGGATTGTTACAAGAGGAAAGGTCTTCCAACTATTATTGGGGTATGTCCTACTTAAATTACTTGTCACCCCTCTCCTCTGTTATTTTTTTATTGTCTTTCTTTCTCCTTTTTATAACTTTGAATTTGAGATGTTATATGTAAATATTTCACTCAAAGCTTTATTTAGAAAATCATGCAAAGTGCAAAGGCAGACAGTCGTAAAAAGAATTGTGAAATAATGGTTAAAATTAATAATGCTTAACATTTGTTTTTTAATCTACTTCTGCATTTCTTCCATCATTGTGAAATATGAATATTACCTGATATTTCTTTTTTTTAAAATTATTTTGCATTTAACAGTAACATTGATATTCATGCTTTTATATTTTCAGTTTGTGTTCTATCCTGATTTTAGAGTGCTATTGCTATTTCAAAATCTTGATTATTTACTGCATTCAAATCGTGTCTAAATTGTGAATATTTACAAAGTATTTATATTATGCCAATTGTTCAAAACAAAAATAGGCACCTATTCCAACTTCTTACTCATTTCTTACTCATGTACATAAACATACATGTATCTTACTTATTGTTTACTATAATGCATATACACAATCATGTATTTTCTGTATGGTGCATTATCTCAGAAATAGATGAGCTGTATCTAATGCACCTCTTCCTTTATTTTTACTAGGCAGAATCATGCCTATAGTTCTTACCAGAAACAATATACTGGTATATGATTGAAACTGTCAGATTTGTCTGGTCATCAAAGATTTCATTTTGTCATTAATGCATTCACACACGTAAACTTCAAAACGCCATTTCTGTGTACGTAATATAATAGGACTGATATGACCACATTGAGAACACATTCCAAGCCTTTGTAACTTTAAACAAAATGAACTGTAAATTTTACCATTAATTTTGTATAGAAATCATTCCTGTTAATGATGGTTGGATATCTTACTCTTATCATTTATATAGAAGGATATCTTTTACTTTTTGTTTAATTCCCTGACTTTTGAAGCCATCTTTGTTTTCTGTTTTTTGTTTTTGTTTTTTTTGTTTTTGTTATCAGTGAAATAATATAAAAATGAAAAGCTTTGCATAATGTGTGTTGAATAAGAAAGGTGAAAATTATTATTCATGCATATGTGTGACTGAGAAAGTCCACTCTGTTATACTTTTTTGGGGGAGGAGGGGGGGGGGGGGGTAGATAAGTAGCAGCAAATTAAAACAAGTTCTGTCAGATTTTCCTCAAGCTTTTATTAATCTGTTTCTTTCATTTTATTGAGGCCAACTTAATGACGGGATTGACCTCCCCTTTAACTTTCAAAGTAAAATTCTCATCTTCGCAATGACTGTATGACAATTTGGTTTATTGATTATTATGGAATATGTATTTCTACTGCCATATTCAGAGAAATACCAAGTATACCAGATTGAAGCAGATATATACCTTCCCCTGTACTCTCCTGCGTATAAATATAGAAATGGGTTTTGCGTGCATGTACAGAAATTGCTGCATTTTTCTTATTTTTTAATTCAGAATTAATGCTGCTCTGACTCCAAAAAGTAAAAAAAGAAACAGTTATAGTGCACCATGATTTTGTAATCTAAAAATCTGAGGTATATTTTATTAATTAAATTGTATGATAAAGTTGGAATGAAGAATGATTTATTATTGTTGTTATTTGTAGATTGTAAGCACACCACACGCTGACCAACCTTCTTGTGATCTAATCAAATTAAACGTATTTATCTTTTCAAGTATATGTTGCCTGGGATTCAAAATTGATTTGTTTTAAAAGTGGTTATAAATGTATTTGTCTTGTATTGCAAATAGTCTCTTTAATATTATGAGGATAGCAAATAGCTACATTTTTCCAGTGCAGTGTAACATTCAAGTAAATTTAGGTCAAGCCTTCATAGAAAGTTGCTTTTACAAAATTGACAGATTTCCCTCTAAGAGTTCACACAGTTCTTTGCAAGATTTATTTTATCTTTCATCATCTTGACTATAGAATAAAAAAGTGATAACTTTATTTTAGTCTTTGTCTGATTTTGCTCTAACTTTCACTACTCAGTTTCTTGGGGTCTCCCCAACTGAGGCACATTTTCTATGAAGATTTAATTCCACCGTTAGCAGTTTCGGTCAATAATAATGTTGTTTGTATGTTTTTGGATGAAGGGAGGTGTGTGGTGAGCTCCTTATTAACCCTCTTAGAGCCAGGGACGCCCAATGATACCGTCTTGTAGAGGGGCTTTGGCGCTGATTGAGTTAATCATGATCAATTTCATGTAATGAAACCAAAGAAAGCGTTGTTTATTATTTTGTTGTCAAAATGTATAGATTTATTATACTTTCATCACTACGGATATTCAGAGCACTTCCATGTTATTGAGCATATTCGCATAATGCTGTTTGTAAATGCATGAATAAATAAAAGTCATTTTATAAATGCTATTGTAAATGTCAGTTTTACTCTTGCTTTTTTCTCTCTTTTGAAGACAATTCTTGTTCCCGTTAGACGTCCGATTTCTTGAAAATGCAAGTGTAAGCCCAGACCAGATGCTTGTTAGAATGATGATGGTGGTGCTGGTTGTGATGATGCTGATGGTGATGATGATGATAATAATGGTGGTAGAAGTGGGGAGGGTCGTGGTGATTTTTTTTTTTCAGGAAGGTTTTATGTGGGTTTTTTTCTTCAATTATGTCAATTATGTAAAAGGGAAAATTGTGTTTTCATTACAATCATCATCCTCATCATTATCATCACCAACTTCATCATTAACATCATCACCACCACCATCATCAAAATCATCATTGACTAGAAAAAAATGTTGTGTCGATCACGTGGTGATTATTAGCACTTGCATAACAACCTTCCCTGTTGGTCAATACATTTTGTCAGGAGCCGCCCCTCCCCAACACGTAAAAGCTGGTTGTTAACACGGTTGTCTACAGACATACAAAGCCAGCATTTAAAACACGTCCTTGATTTACTCCAATAAACAAACCTGAAACAAAAGGACCCGGCATTGACCAGACTATCCGTGCAGTGACCCCCATCTTTTGTTACGTCACATACAACAACCCTGGAGGTTGTACGACACTTGCTCCGCGTTAATTTCTTCCTACACTAACCTAATTCCTATAATTTTAACACTGAACCCAAAAGTATACCTACCCCTAAACCTAACCCTAAGCCTAACCGAAAACCCAATGCTAACCCAAACCCTAACCTATACTTTCGACGAAATAAAGTCCAGCGCAAGGCGTCGGGGCAAATGTCTGAGCGCAACTTATGAATCATCCCCATAAAACCGCCAAAACCTTAACCTAACCATGAACTAATACGCGATCGATAAAAAGTTGTCGATCATCCGATTACGGTCACGTCTGCTCCCATTACTTTAGTGTATATGATAATTGAAATTGATTGACCGTGTTCTCTTAAGATGGGTGAGCGTGGGTTCAACCTTGGTTCGTCTGCCAAGGAAATAAATGCCGGGTAATTTATAATTGTCGACAAAATTGCAAAGGAAGGGGGTTGGGGCAAGCGTAATGGTTAAAGACAAAAACGAAAACAAAACAAAACGCAACATAAATGGAACATAATCAAAAATATATATCCTAGATTTTCATCAAAATTAAAAAATAAACATGATCTAGGGCAGTTTTGTTGAATCTTGGAAATTAATTAATACTCTCTTCTTGGATTGTCGATCCTTTGATTCGCGGTGTGGAGAGTTTTGCGAGTCGTCCCAAAGATATTGGTTTGTGGTTGGGCTGGTTGAATAGAACCTGATCGATTATGAGGTGATGCTTTCGTAAAGCTTGCTGTAATGATATTTGGCAAACAACCAGCAATATAAGTACAAAAATGTTAGTCCAGAAATCTTTAGAAAGCAACAACAACAATATGGACACTAAATGCACCCATACTGTAAACAACGCGCAACACAAGCTAAGAAATATGAATTGGTTCGACGGTGGAACAGTTTAAAAATGAGAGATGATACTTTGGGGGAAATGGTTATAAGGAAAACAAGATTTGTGTGTGTGTAATTGAGCCAGCCTCAGCCGGGCAATTAATATCGGGTACAGTCACTATGGCATAGATTTAAGGGGCACTGGAGTACACAGGGGCGTAGTAAGCACTTTTTTTTTTGGGGGGGGGGGTCTTCGAAAATTTGAAAAATCGCACCCCCCCCCCCCCTTGAGCGCCAGGGAAGGGGGCCATCTATAAATAATATTTTAAAAAGGGTAAAATTAACGTGTTTTTACACGTTTTTTCCCCAGAGGTGGGGGCCCGGCCCCCTCCCTGGATCCGCCACTGGGGGCATATGCCCCGTCATTTGAGAAAAAAAAAGCAAATTTGGAGAGAAAGGGATAAGGGAAGGCAATGTGCCCTTTGTCAGTTTTGTTAGTCATGAACTTGTTTTGGCTTTTTTTTTTTTTAATTCTTTTCATCTGTTTTTGTGTTTGTTTAGAAAGACAATCCCGGGTTTTATATCAATAAATGACATGATTTGACTTTGATTTGATTTGATTGTTCGAATACACAGCCAATCCCGTACTTATGAGGGTAGGGGTGGGGGCAACTGTCCCAAATCAGGGGCGGCGATTACTTTTCATGACCGGGGGGCGAAATGCGATGAGCAAAAACTCTTTATTTTTTTGGAGGGGGGAAGGAAACAAATCCGCATCACCTCCACTCTTACATGTTAAAAACAGGCCCCGTGGA